CTTGTTATTTTTTTAGTATAATTTTTGAGTTCAAATACTACAACCCGGTGGAGAGCCGAAAGCCGAGGTTGGAGCGGCAAAAGCGACTGTTCCGCGTCAAAGGTATCTTTGTGAACTAGGGACCAGATACATCCTCAGGCCATTCAGACGCCAAGGAATCGTCGGCCGGCGTGAAGAAGGAGATTGGCATCAACGCGTGGTCACGGTTGTTGACGAGGTTTGTATTTTTGAGTTGCCAAGCTTTTCAAAAATGTTATTAAATTTTTGAACCATCTATCAACATCTTTTTTAGACAAACCGCTCGCGCCGAAGAGCCGGTAATCGGGGTTGGCCATGGACTGGAGAAGCGGCCCGAATCGTCATCGCCCAAGCAGGGCAAACCGGCATTCCGCACGCAGCAAAGTGTACATCACATCGATACAAGGGAGTTCGTTATTTTCTAGCTTTTGAAAATCAACTTCAGCTGAGTTTAGACTTTTACAATTTTTCCCATTTCAGCCCCTCGAAGCGCGCCGTCCGTCGATGCCCTCAATTTCGCACACGTCGGTGCATCAATCGCTGGACCTGGATTCGCACAGCCATCCGCTGTCCGCCCAAATCTCGGCCCCGATCGCACCGGTGCCGCTGCCAAGAGCTGCGGTACGTTTCTTGTTTAAATTAACAACTCTAGTTTCGTCAAGTTTGTGGATTTTGACAAAAAGTGTTTTGTTGCTGCGTTTAGAGACGTTCAAATTTGAGACATTCACGACGACAATGAAAATTGCCTAGTTTTCAGCTCTCCCGCCCACCCTCAACCGTCGCCCCTCCGCCACCAACATCGCAGGCCCATTCCGCAGTCCAGATCACCAGCTTCCAGCTCATCTCGGTGCTTGGGCGGGGGCACTTTGGAAAGGTAGAAATTCCATTTTCTGCGTTTCAATGCCGTTTCAGGTCATTCTCGCCAAGTACGTCCCCTCCAAGGAGTACTACGCCATCAAGGCGTTGAAGAAGGGCGACATCCTCGCCCGCGATGAGGTCGAGTCGCTGATGGTCGAGAAGCGGATATTGGAGGTGAGAACTGTTGTAGTTTAGGCCTTTTTTGTCTGGAGCGGTCGTCTCTTTATCCATCTGAATTTCAAAAAACGTTTAGTAAAGTGCTCTAAAACGGTTTATCTAAAATCGATTCTCTAGATGGCCACTCGCGCGCACCATCCATTCCTCGTCAACCTGTTTGCATGCATCCAAAGCGGCGAGCACGTCTTCTTCGTCATGGAGTATTCGATGGGAGGTAAACACTTGTTTTTAAAGTTTTCGTTTCACTTTTTTATAGCCTTTTTCGTTTTCAAACCCTTTCATTTTTAGGAGACCTGATGCGCCACATCCACGACGATATCTTCACCGAAGAACGCGCGGCATTCTACGCGGCCTGTGTGCTGCTCGGCCTCGAGTTCTTGCACCAGAACAACATCATATATCGCGATTTGAAGGTTTGTGCCAGTTTTAATTTTCTTCAATGGTTGATAACTGCAGCTCGACAACCTGCTGCTCGACCGCGAGGGCTACGTGAAGCTGGCCGATTTCGGGCTGTGCAAGGAGGGAATGGGCCCGTTGGACAAGACGTCGACGTTCTGCGGGACGCCCGAATTTTTGGCTCGTATGTTTTTGGAGTTTTTAGTCCTTCGCGTAAGGTAACGAAATATAATTGGTTTTTTAGCCGAAGTACTCACCGAGTCCTCCTACACGCGTTCCATCGACTGGTGGGGCCTGGGTGTGCTGATCTTCGAGATGTTGGTCGGAGAGCCGCCATTTTCGGGTACGTTTTTTTTGCGGAACGTTGATATATTTGGCGTAATTACATTTTTATGTATATTTGAAAAGTTAACTTTTTGAACGTATTTTTCCAGGTGATGACGAAGAAGAAATCTTCGACTCGATCGTCTCCGACGACGTCCGGTACCCGAGGTTCCTGACGATCGAGAGCATCTCAATAATGCGAAGGGTCAGTTTTTCCATTATTTTCTGAACTTCATCATTTCCAGTTGCTCCGGAAAAACCCGGAACGCCGCCTCGGCTACGGTACCCCGGATGCTACGGAGGTCAAATGCCAGCGCTTCTTCCGGCACCTCAACTGGGAATGGGATGCGCTGCTGGCCAAGCGGATTCGCCCGCGCTTCACGCCTTCGATTGTGGGTTTTTGAAAGTATTGAAAGTAAAGTATATAAATATTGAATTAAAGCCAGGTTTTTGTTTGTTCTTATTTGGTTCTAGTTTTTGTGAAACTTAAGGAATTCTTTTTGATATGAAAAATTAGCATTGACCGGAAATGGGGGTGGGTGGCTTATATAAAGTGACTAAACAAGCGGTTTCACATTTTTAGCATGCGGATCGGGAAGAATTATGCAAAGTATAGAATACCATGGGTGGACCGAGTTAGGGTTGAAATCCGAGATGAGCAATTTTAGAACCCATGTTTAATTTAATTCAATTCATTAGGTACACTGGGCGATATTGGAATTTTTGTTATTTTCAGAAAAACCCCGAGGACGTCTCCAACTTTGACGACGAGTTCACCTCCGAGAAGCCGCGCTTCTCCTCGGCCAAAGATCGGCGCCCCATCACCGAAGCCGACCAGAATCTGTTCAACTCTTTCGACTTTGTCTCCCATCTCTAGACCCCGTGGTTGTGAATTGCGTGTGTGCGTTTGTCTCTGCCTATTTCAACCCGCCCGTTGCTCTAGTCTACCCTCCACCATTCACCTCCCCAAAAAAACTATGAGAATTCTCCGGAGATCTTTATTCGACATTTCGGGTCCCGACCACTTCCCCATCCCCAAAATCGTTTTTGCTCTATATCTCTAGCGCTCTCTTGGTCTGTTTCTATCGCCCCCTCCAATCACCGTTCCAGCCCCCTGTTGTGTTATTCGCTAAATTGTGCCTTGTCGCCCCCACACACAGCCCCCTAAAAGATGGTTAGACTTCTCTACCTACCCCGGCTGGCTTATTGCTCTCCTAGGTTGCTCATCTCATTGGTGTGTGTTCCCCCTAAATCGCGCCCCGCCTTACCGTAACCCCCGCGCACCAGACGAACATGGATATATCGAGATTACACGCCATCTATGTGTCCCAGAGCGTAAATGTCTATTTAGGAAAGTGCTGCTGGGGTTTGGGGGCTCGTGGGTTTTGGATGCTGAAGGGAGAGTGACAGAGCCCCCGAATTCCATCGGTTTATCTGTAAAAATGTAGTTATTTCCACCGTCCCCATTCGTGCCTGTCCGCCACCATTACCAACAATAATTACGCATGTCGTGTGCGGCGCCCGGATTTTTTTTTGTTTTGCTCTGTCTTTGCCTCCACCCATACATACACACCTGTCGCCATGTGAGATATAAAGGCTTTGAATTCAAATGTTTCCTTATAGATACAATTTATTTGTTTGTACACTGGAAATGCGAGGATATAGGCCACTTTTTAGGTAAAACAAAAGTCTACATGAACCGCCGAAATCTACACTTATCGTTGGCTTGGTGCGGGCAGCTACGTGCTACCGAATACCTTGCAATGCTTTTCAACATGAAAAGCGTGTTTTGGTGCGTAGCGTAACTACCGACGCCCAGCTAACGAACAGGGTCGATTTTTGCGCTTCCTGGCTTCTTTAACTTTCAAGAGGCGCAGAATTTCTACTTCATTCATCCCCGAATCGATGGACGGCAAACAGGACGACGTTCGAGTAGATCGGCAGCAGCATGCAATGTTTCGGGTAGTCATCGGACTAGGTTTTCGAACATTCGTCAACCCCACTGCTGGCTTACCGGAGTTCCGGGCACGATAAACGGGCTCGTCAACGCGTGCCAAAATATTGCTGCCAACACCAGCGCAAACGCATCCCAAGCCACCAGCTCCCACTTCTTTTCCCGAATGTTTAGCGGTTGGTTGAGGAGTTTTAGGGTCGCGTAGGCCACGCAAATCCAGCCGAGGAAGGCGCCGAGCGGTTCGTAGATTTGTAGGCCCTAAGGATTCGGAAATTTATTTTTCTTAGTGAGGCGCGTGCCCTTTTAGTTTGTTTTTACCCTGATTCATTTTCTTTAGTTTCTTATTGTTTCCTGTTTTCATTGTTTTTACGTAAAGATTGAATGTCCTTTCAAATTGAAAACAAAGCTGTCTCCAAATTTAGGCTTTGATTTTCCAGAAATTTGGCGGTTTCTCAACTTGGCAAACTAGCATTGATCATTAGGGAAACCCACTTGCCATCCAGCTAGTAATTTTTTTTCTGTCTGCCAGTAGTAAAGTGTCGTAATTCCGGCTGGTAGTAGTATGCCCAATGCCAAAATTATCCAGTTGTAGAGTGGAATTACCTGAAGTTAGTTTAGTTTTTTTAGTTTTAGCTTTTTATAGCTATCGTCTCGCGTTATAATATTTTTTCGAAACTACGTCAGCTTCTACTTACATCAAATTCGATGGCATTTCTTGCTTTCGCGTATAGGGAAACGATATTGATAACGAGGAGAATCAGCATGTGCGATTCGAAGAGGTAGAAGTTTACGAAAAATACGATCGTGTAGATGATGTGATCGTTGTGAAGCTAAATCGTACTGGATTTTCGATAGGTTTTATACGATTTAATATGCCATTTAACCTAGTTTTCGCGATTTTTAGTCGCTTACAAAAAAAATTAGAAGAAAGAAGAAAAGAAAGACAGGAATATGAAAATTGTTCATTTTCACATCACGTGACGGTTTTTGTGGCATTGAGAGTCGCTAATGATCAGTTTCATGTACAGCGGTGCTTATTTAATTTAACAAATCGAAATATCGTTTTTTCACTAATTAAAAGGCTTAAAAATTACAACAAATCTGCCCCATATAATCGAGGCCGGCGTGCCGACTTCCAAATCATTTGGCACATGGGTCCTTTCCACATAAAATAACGGCGTCAGGCAGAGGATTATTGTCTGAAAGGCACTTTTTAGGATTTCATAGACCAAAAAGCTTGGATTTTAGAGTTTGTAGTCCATAATTGTACTTACCGTAACATGCACATATAAGATTATAGGTTTTGCGCGGTTGTCTTCTTTGTAAGGGCTTTTCAAAAGCTGATACATATCATAGATGTGGACGCCAATATTCGCGAACAATACAGTAAAATAGATAATATCCACCGTATCATGCGGGGCAATGGCCGTGGCTTGGATGTTAAAGTACGGGTAGAATTCGCTGGTCTGTATCTCGTCGTCGGCGCGGCCCATTTTTATCGATTTTTATAGGCTAAAAAATTGTAAGCAAATGTTGAATACACGAAAGGTAAGATGATCTGAAAAACAAGTGACATTTTAAGCGGAAACTAGGGTAAAACTTTATTCGAGACAATAAAAAAGGTTACGAAGACATTCGCGTGCCGAGCGTAATTTGGCATTATAAGGCCTCGAATCAAATTACGCCCGCCCCGCCGTATCCTTGGCCAACTACAAAAATTCCGCCGGTTAACGGCCCCCGCAAAACAATTTGCGTGAAATTGGTGTAGGTCAGCGAGATTTTATACGTGTTTTAGTGGACGACGTATCGGGAACTGCTTGAACCCGGAAAGCCTATTAACCAAAAAAGTAGTAACGAAAAAAGGCGCTCGAAAATTCTTTATTCATTCCGTTTCCTCATCTCCGAATCGATTTACAGCGAATAAAACCAAATTGGAGTAGATTGGGATCAACGTGCACAGCTTTTCGTAGTTTCCCGTCTAAATTCAAGACAGTAAAGTGTAATAAACTTGAAATCTGTTGCGAAAGCGATTAGAAAGATGAATTTCGTTTCCGGACAAGATACACCACATTTCCGGTCGGTTTCCGGCTCCAATTTGGCCCGTTTTCCACTGTCTAGTCCTGAAAATCTGACCTCATCAGTTACGATAACGCCAAACATATAGCTCGTAGTGGCATGCCAAAAAATAGACAAAATAAGTAAGGTAACGCAATCCCAGAAAACAAGCTCCCAATTTTTTCTGGTTAGCATTAAAGCTAGTTGCAGAATTTTTATGGCCGCATAGGCATAGTAGATATATGATAAAAAACGCTGATGATGTTCAAAAGTTTGGAGCCCCTAAAAAGGCAAAAATAGGTATAAAATAACGTATTTTTGAGCCGTTTGAGCTTAAGTAAGGTTAAGAAACGTAGCAACGTACAACGTTACATACCTGCCATCCATTATAATATTTCTTTTTAGCTTTTAGGTAGTAAAAGGTGGAAAAAGCTGCCGAAACCCCAATACCAAGGCTCAAAATGATGAAATTATACATTGGTAATACCTAAAATAACGGCTTAGACGGTTTTGGTAACTTACATTATATTCTCCAGCCTTCTTTGCCTTTGCAAAAAGCGACATTAAGTTTATAAAGACCACCATCAGCATATGGCTATCAAAAACGAAGCAATTCAAGAAATAGCCGACGATATAGCAAGGGCTGGTCGTTTGCAACTAAAAAGGATAGAAACTACAATGTTTCTTTAGTAAATAAGTATAAAATTAAGTATACCGAAGAAAAAATGCATTAAAAACGCACGATTAATCCACCCCATAACCAGGCCGATACGTAGCCGACTTCAATATCATATGGCGTGTGGGTGCGCTCGAACGTCAAAAATACCGTAAGACAAAGTAATATCGTCTGAAATGGTTCTTATTGATTTTTTCTGACCTTAACTACGACGGAATATGAAAGTACGTCTCCGTGTTCGTTATTTTCAGATGCAGGATAAAATTCGAAAAACGCACCGTAACGTGCATATAAGATATAATAAATTTCGCCCGGTTATCCTCCTTATACGGACTCGTCCATAACCGATGAAGCTCGTAGCAGTGAACGCCAATATTCGCGAATACTGTAGAAAAATAAAGCGCATCTACAGCGTCGTGTGGAGCGAACGTAGTCCGTTGCAAATTAAAGTAGTAGTTGAATTCGGTGGTTTGTGGTTCGTACTCCTCGACGGGGTGCTTCTTTCCTTTGCCCATTTCTTTGGGAGGTGCGTCTAAATAGTCATTAAATCATGGTATGAATGTTAAAAAATAGTAGCTTAAGCGAAAAAGCTAAAGATTGTGAGAGAACACCAAGTTCCATTCGATGCTCTTTAGGAAAAGACGTGGTGAAATAAAATTACAAAACGCAAACAAGTAACGGGGGAATAACGGAATTACCGGGTTTTCGCGAGCCCAGAAATCTCATATTTTCTTAGGTTATAAAGTTTTCTTAATTTGAGTTTAATGGTTATACCTAGAGGGATTGAAATCGGATTGGGACGAGAAAATGGGAGCGAAAAAACGAACGAAAACGCTAAATGTACCTAGCAAGGTATAGTTTAGGATCCAGTCTTGTCTAGTGTTCTTCAAAAATCCGTCCGATTCCTAACGACGTCGTATACTTGCTTTCAAAACCTCGATAATTCCGCGCTTACTGTCGCGTGGGCAAAAATCGGTTCCTGGCGGCGCCCGTAAAATCAAATTGGGCCATGGGCGTAATTTTGTTGGACAAGTTGGCTCGGGTTCCGTACCCCGGGTTGATTTTTGAAGGCTAGAAAGTTGTTTTTAACTTTTTGCTTACACTCTAAATTAATCTATTCCATAATCTCGATTTCAGCTCCATTTTACAATGGCAAAATCAAAAGTCGATTACTCGCCAAAGTTCGTCTATTTTGAGGATATGGTATTTCGGGATTGGCTCGTTTTCTATATAGTCTTTGTGGTAAGTTCTCGACACTTAGATACCAGCTTTTATTGAGCATCTAAAGAGCTTTTATTTAGTTCGGCTTCCTCTCCATCCTCTCAAACACGGGCGCTTTAATCGTGGTAAAGAAAAATGCGCATTTATCCTGGCTGGTCGCGACTTATCTTTGTATGGAGCATCTGACAAGAATAGCGCAATCTGTTATTCTGTTTTACCCTGGTGTTTGTACTTTTATACGCACGGATGCGAGGCAACATTGGTTAGTTTAGTTGGTAAAAATAGCTAGAAAAACGTCGCTTATCGCTTAAAATTAGTAGTAATAACAATGGACAAAAACGATTTAGGGCCGCGCATGTTAGCGACGAAGCAGAGTATGGTTATTACATCTACCGGAAGCACCGCTCGATTTGCGAGTGCTGGGTGCCGTTTGGTGCGCCGCTGAATATGACACTGGGTAGCCATTTTAGCTGCTCTTCTATACTTTATTATGATTTTATTAAAGAGCTCACCTTGTTTTTAGGTATCTACTTCTATTTCGCGCAACACGCCATCGAAATGATCCAGCTCGGCTTGTCCCTGAATCGCTTAGCAGCGCTCGCTTTTGAAGGTATGCTTTTCTAAACGTTGCCCCAGTTTCAGGCCGTTTCTCCGAGCTTATGACCTCATCAAAACTTCACCAACTGCTGGCCGTGTTCACGATCCCGGTTTCCGGAGTCTACTGGGTGACGCGTTAGTAATTTTCTGAAAATTGCTATTTTCACGTATTTTTAAGTGGAAGCTATCCTCTACTACGAGACACACAGCTACGCCTTGATCAGCACCGAATACGCCGGCCCAGACGTCCAGATCATGATGTTCAAGCTGCGGATGGTGGCCAACGGGTTGACGTTGGGCGCGTTGCTCTCGGATGTGATCACATTTGGCTTGATTCGAAGGCATTTGGTTGGTTGAGCTCTTGTTTTTTAATATAAAATCTGATAAACCAAATTAAATTAGGGGAAATCAATAAGAAAATGAATCATAGGAATGGAAAGGATCAGAAGATGAACGGATGGCAAGAACTGATCGGATTTTCTTATTTTGATTTTCGTAAAAGAAAAATTCCTGGATATAAAACATTCAGGAGAAAAATCGCCATCTGTCAAGCCAAAATCTGAACCAAAGCCGGGCCGACATGAAACTGGCGAAGCAGGTAAGCCAGGCAAAGCTTCATTGACAATCTAAATTCCAGAAAAAGCCAATTAATTGTAGATGATCGTCAACCACACTTACTCTTTGGCTGTGACCGCAGTCAATTTCTACATAGCTTTTCTCGTACGGAACCAACTCCTGTTCGATTCGGAAGGATTTCACGACGCAGATGCTTATGTATCTTCTTTTTAAAATAGCGTAAAAATTTTTAGAACGAAATACAACGCGCAGTTGTGTATAACTCGATGATCATGCAGACGAGCTGGTTTCTGACCATCGTCACGACTTGTTTACCGGCTGTCGGTAATGCCGTATCCGGGTAAGTCAACCAGGAAAATGTAAAACGATCTTTTCTTCAGCTTTGTAACGATCGTCTTTCTGGGCGAGATTGCGCCTTGCAGTTGCACCACAGGCTTTATGCAGAGATTTCAGAGATCCCCCATCGGGCGCGTAAGTTCTGCAAAACATTCAAATCCCCTCTATAGACGCTCCTCGTCCAGCCGCGCGCCGACTCGCTAACAGTTCGGGCCACAAAATCAACGTTTCTGAGCTCAGCGACCTAACCTAAAAAGGCATACAGATCTCTGACGGTCTGCCAGCGAAAATTCATCAGAAAAACCCCACACGTCAGAAATTTTATCGAGAAACCCGTCTTCCTACAACACAAATATGACATTCAAATCTGGATCAGAACATAACAGCGTGGGCTCATACAAATAGCGAGAAGGGCAGTACACCAGAAAGACCGGGGCGATCGAGCAGTAAAGTGAAAAAGTTAGCCAAACGTACAAATGAGCGGAATTTTGAGGGGTGGCAGCGAATTACGTCTCCTTCGGGTCGTCGATGCCGTGGTCGGTGATGGCGAAGGTGGCCTCGGACTCGGGTTGCGACGGGGATTGGTGTATCTGACAAACATCATAGAAGTGCCAACAGCAAAACTGGTTCTGGTACGTTAGCGAGGGGAGGTTTTCTTATTCTCCGGTATTTTCCTAAGTTTACGATTGTTTTAACGCGCGCAAATAGAGCATCCGAATCAAGTTGCTGCAATCTAGAATAGCCGTAGCCAAACAAAACAAACAAGAATAACCGTCAAAAAGGGGGCCGGTAAGCCGGGTTCCGACATTTTGCTAAATTACTTTTTACTTCCAAAGCCATTTTTTCCATGAACCTCAAAACTATGAAAAAGCGTTTCTACTATTTTCTAAAATCGCGGAATAAACAGCAGATCTCGAAAAATGCCTCCCCCGTTAACGAACCAGAACTGGAAAACGATTATACCTTGCAGACGCGATTTTCGCCTTTTCCCTTCCGAAGGCCGAGGCGGGTGGTGCTCATGTGGGCCACGATATTGCCGCCGATGGGCTTCTTCGGGTCGGCTTGATAGGGGCCCGCGCTTCCATCGACTTGGGCGACAACCTAGAAAATGTTCTAATGCAAAAACAATATTATACCTGATTTGTAATCACGACGGCAACTCCGAAAATGTCGGCAAGACCGGCCAGTTTGCGCATGAGCTTGGCGATGGCTTGCTGCCGGGCCGCCAGCTCACCACGGCCATTGTAGTCGGATCTCAAAAGCAAATTTTCAAAAAGAAAAATGACGGTTATACCTGAATGGGGCAATCGCACAGTCCACTATAATCAGCGCATAGCGGCTGTCGGCCATCATGGCGGCGGCGTGGTCGAGTAGGCTCAGCAAGTGGTCAGAGTTGTAGCATCTAAAAAAATAATAGAAAGGTTTCCAGATATTACCTTGCCACCGCAACATTGTCGAGGACGCTCTTCGCCACAAGGCCGTACCTAAAAACTTAACTTCAAAGGAAACGAAGAGTTTTCCTACTTTTGTGCAATGGATACCAGCCGCTCGGGTCGGAATGTGTTTTCTGTGTCGATAAACATGCATTTTCCTTCCGCGCCGCCCATGTCCTAGAAATTAGTTGAAAAGGGCCAAAAATTACACAAACCACTGGCATCTGGCAGAGAACGGCGAGCGTGTGACAGAGCTGCGACTTGCCCGTTCGGTATTCACCAAAAAGCTAAAACGGAAGTATAAATAGTATTAATCAAGCGGTACCTCTGTGATCGAGCCGGTTTCAATGCCACCACCGAGGATTCGATCAAGATTGGCGCTGCCCGTTCTTAAAAAGGAAAACTTTACAAGTTTTGGGTTTGTACCTTATCGACACCAAGCTGCTCCTCTTCAAGTGCACGTCGCTCGCCGAGGTGAAGCCCATCGGGATCAGCTTTTGCGCTTCGAGCTAAAAGCTTTATGAAAAAAAATCATTGGCCAAAGTTACGATAATTCTATCTGCTTTCTGCTCGGAGATCCCCTTGACGGCGTACACTTCCTTGCGGGGCGCCATCGCAATCGCTTCGATCGTGTGAAAACTGGCCGATTTGAGGAGGGTGATGTCGCGCGCGTTCAGGCCACATGTCTAACAGAAGATTATAAGAAAGGGCGGGCCAATTTACCTCTAGTTTTTCGACCGGCAAATAGGTGAGCTCGCTGTCGTCTTCTTGCAGCACGCTGTCAATTGTGGCAGCCGTCGTTTGTATCTCGTGCTTTTCGCGGACAGCTTGTGCGGCCATCTGTAAATAGGAAATAGAAGAAAGGGCTTCCAAACTTGTAGATAAAACAGAAAAAACTAAATCTAAACGGTATCAAAGTAATAAGAAAGGCAAAGCAGAAGAAAACGCGCTTGCAAGCATTAATTCAGCTATCAATTGGTCATCAGAAGGATCTAATTTGGAAACACAGCTATCAAAAGGTCTGAATGGACCAATTTTAACGCTTTGAACCCAATTCCTGAAAGCTTCCTCTGAAAATGAAAGGAAAGCGGACATTTTGAATTGGAGGGCGCTTTACGCAAGCAAAAGGGCGCCCGCCAAACCAAAGTTTTGATCGGGGCTTAACAAGAGCAATGAAATGTATCAGGGAAGATGCGAAAAGACTTTTCGCGTTTTCGTGGGCTTCTAGCGAAAAGAAAAGAAAGAAATCTGCATCAAGAAAGCGAATGCCTTCCGAGGGTAATGAAGAAACTAAAAACATGTCGGGACCGGTTGGCCGTCTGGCGCCAGAGGACGCTGATGTACACCTGACGGCTGCTGTGACTATCGAAATACTGTACCAATATCCGCGTAATGAAAACCGGGTTAAACTTTTTGCTGAAAAACTCCAGACCTTTTTTGATAACTAAAAGGAACATCTCGACCTTGAATTTAAATTTTCAAGGTCAGCCTGACCGTATATCTGGCTCGCTATCCCGCCTCTCTCCAAATGTGTGTGTCTGATTCCGGCGATATGTCGTGCTCTCGAAAGAGTACATACGAAAATGCCTAGTTTATCGGCTTTGCGGCGTTTGTCTTAATTGGCCGGCTTTACCTAGCGCCCAAATTTGATCCCGAGCTTTAGCTGCCCGCAACATCTATAATTTCCGTTATCCGCAGCTCGGATTCTGAACCCAGGATGCACCCCGATTCTTATTATCAGGTTAACAAAAATTTGGCTCTAATTTGAGTTTATCAATTTGAGAACGATCAACCGGATGGTCTGGTTCCGATTCGGGCCCAGATATCGCCGCATGATTGCTTGGATTTGGCTTACTGTTCGACGCTTATTTTTGGCCAAGCTGTACACGTTTATGCCTTGCATTATTTATTCACGAGCCTTTATAGTTGGGTTGGAACGTAAGTCTCTGCGCTTTGTTCAAAGCTCGTTGCTTCACTTCCCAGAGGACTTTGGAGCAAGTGTTATATATCATTCGAAAGAGCTTTCTTTTCTCTATCAGGCACAAAAATTCGTTTACTTTTCTACGTTTACATTGCGCCGAATTAGTTGGTTAGAATGAAAATCGCCGTTTTCCCTTGAGCTCGATAGCTAGGGAATTGTACAGGCTTCTTATTGCACTTCGAAAAAGCTTTTATTCTCCTTCTTTTTCATGTAATTAGTTTATCTTTGAAGTAGCTTTTCAGTAATTTTTAGCAGATCGAATGACCGAAATGCGCTTTTCCTCCACTTGCTAATTTCTGCGTGAAAAACACGGATTTTAGACATCCAAAGTGTTATGCTCCACTTTTCTGCCTATTTAGAAAGATGGTTGTTATTCTATTCAATTCCTGAAGAACCTATATTTAGCTAGCTGCCTTTGACAGCCATTACACATTTCCTTGAAATTCCCAGATTTGATTATTCACCGCAACAGCACCCTGTTATCGAAATGTGTGTCTGGGGTGAGCGTTGATTTTTCGAGGGGGTCCACAGTGCCAAATCGATACATCCCGCGCTCCTCTTCGCGATGCCCGCTTAAGGGCTCGTGCTCGATCAGACCCCCTTGCCACTGTTTTTTGAGCCATCCCACCTACCCCACCGCCATAAATTGATTTGTAGAGACTCTGCTTTGGCTATGAATTATTTAGCCAGCGTCGTTGATTGTTGATTTGTCTTTACTGGGCGCAAAAACAACCCCTCTAGCGTTCTGGAGAATTCGCTGATTTCTACGATTCTACGAATTATAGGTAGTCAAAAGCTGTTTGAGGCGGAGAGCTCTTTTTTGTCATACTTTCGAAAATCCTATCAATAACACACAAAAAATTTCATGAGAATTGATCGATGCCGAAATTATGACTGTAAGAAGAAATTTGTTAGCATTTGGTCCAGTACTGGTCCCATGTTTTTCATCCTCTCTTTCATTCTCTTTCCCGCTAGACCATTTTCCCTATTTTTCGTTCTCTTTCTCTCGCTCTCTCTCTCGCTCGCTCTCACTCTCTTTCTCTCTCCCTCTCCCTACCCTCACTCGCACTCCCTCTCTCTCTCACCCTCACTCGCTCTCTCTTTCGCTCTCCCCCTCTCTTTCTCTCTCCCTCCCTCTCTCTATTTCTCTTGCTCTCTCTCTCTCTCGCTCTCGCTCTCTCTCGCTCTCTTTCTCTCTCTCACCCTCGCGCTCGCTCTCTCTGTCTCTTTCACTCTCTCACTCTCTCTGTATATACAGCAGTAATCGAAAGTTGATTGTTATTCTATTCAATTCCTGAAGAACCTATATTTAGCTAGCTGTCTTTGACAGCCATTACACATTTCCTTGAAATTCCCAGATTTGATTATTCACCGCAACAGCACCCTGTTTTCGAAATGTGTGTCTGGGGTGGGCGTTGATTTTCCTAAGGGGGTCCACAGTGCCAAATCGATACATCCCGCGCTCCTCTTCGCGCCGCCAGCTTCGGGGCTCGTGCTCGGTCAGGCCCGGTATTGCCTCTGTTTTTGAGCCATCCCACCTACCCGACCGTCATAAATTGATTTGTAGAGACTCTGCTTTGGCTCTGAATTATTTAGCCAGCTCGTTGTTTGTTGATTTGTCTTTACTGGGTCCGAAAACAACCCCTCTAGCGTCCTGGAGAATCCGCTGATTTCTGCGATTTAGGTAGCTCCCAAAAGCTGTCGTCAAGGCTAACTTTGTCATACTTTCGAAAATCCAATCAATAACACACAAAAAATTTCATGAGAATTGATCGAAGCCGAAATTATGACTTTAAGAAGAAATTTGTTACTCTCTCTCCCTCTCTCCCTCCCTCTCTCTCTCCATGTCCCTCTCATGTCTCTGTCTCTCTCGCGCTCGCTCCACCTCTGTCTTTTCGAATCCCGAGTTGTCCTTTCCGTCCATCCCCCTCCTTTCGGTGCCACCCCAGCCCTTCTTTGATTGGAGGCCTGCCTGTACAAAGGAGATCTCCGCCCCCCCCCCCCCCCGATAACAGCTTATAACAATGCGAAACTGCTTTTTCCAGGATACAAGTCGCCCCGCTGGTTACGAAGCTGGATTACAGCCCATTGGCTAAAGCTAAATATTTGAAAAATAAAGAAATGAAATGGCAATGAAGATTGTCAGCCCTCGGATCAAGGCCATCAACGAGGAATATGCGGTGGGCATTTTTGGGCTATCAATCTTCTCTCTTCACCTAAAATTCAATATTCCTTTTTCAGCTGACGACCGAAAATGCTTACGAAATGGAAATGAACAGGTGCAAAGCCGGGTTTTTAACATCATCGAGTGGCTGGGTCTGTTCGCGGCCCAACATGGAACGATGTCTAAAGAGAAGAAATGCAAGCGAATCATCACATCGATGGTAAGTCGATCAGAATCCAAGAGAAAAAATTTCGAACACATTAACAACTTCTGTTCACGGCCACATTTGTTTAGTCATAAAAACAGCCTTCCACGAGGAGCTAGCCGAACTATTGAACTTTCGGATGGTGCACGTCAGCTGCCTGGAGAAAAACTGCTCCAAATTGCCCTCAAAGTCCTCCAGCAGAGTTGCTTCCTTCGGAGGTATTTTGACGCAAATCTACTTAGAATTTATTCGGATTTAGGATTGAGTCTTCATGCGCCCGACGCACACACGTCGAAGGTATCACCGAACCAGAGGGTTGCTTTTGCACAGCAAACCGCAGGCAAATTCCGAAGCAAATAAAGGTCGGATTCACCAGATCAATAACTATTATCAGGGGTGAAAAACCGCTTCGCGGCTCTAAAACCCAGGCCCGCGTCCGCCGACGAGAATATGCCGCTTCCATAGAACTCCTTGAAATGGCCCGACATTCTTTTTGTATATCATATCTCCGGTAGTTTTTCGCGCCTTCTGACACAAACTTGGCATCTAGTTTTTGAGAAAGAATGGAATTTGCGCTATAAAAGAAAGCACCCTTTCTCAAAGGCTAATATGTTCACCGTCATCTAAGGACTGCAACGTATTTAATCATGTATCACTCACGAAAGCGGCATAAAGCCTTTTTCATTCGAAAACGGAATAATATAATCTTGCAGGCATGCGTCACTACACCGGAAATTTGCTCGGGCCAAACGATCAATCTCGCGAACGCCGTCAGGTTGGATGCAAGCACGGCCAAGAGCTACCTGAAGATGCAACCCATCAAGCGACAAGTGTTTCTGGGGCATTGTTTCCTAAAAAGGTCGTTTTGTTTCCCTTCTTGAATACGATTTTTAGGCTAAACGGTACTATGAGGAAGCGAAGAGGACGAAGGGATCGAATCTACACCATGGCAACAAAGTAGCGCTTCGTTTTCCACGGTCAGCCACTTCGACTTCAAAGACAACAATGTTCATTATTTAGCCGAGCTGAAAGCCCTGGACGACGACACCAACTCGCTGCTCACTACCCTAAGGAAATAATCGGACCCAGTAAGTGGTTATCAAAATTCTTCACAGGTAGAAGCAGTCACAAAAACTCTCCCGCAGCGTTGGGCAGCTTTCTATCCGACGGTGATTCGTTTTTTGAATGAAGTGATGAAAACAAAACCAAATGCAGCCTAATTTTTTCTGTAGCACTCAACGTTTTTTTCAGAAATATCGCCGTGCTCTACAATGAGGATCGGCTCGTGAGCAGCACAACATGCCGTATCGAAAAAAAAAGATTATTGTTCGTATACTTTCTTTAATTAATATTGTGCTGTTTCCTGTGTCCTCCGCTTTTTTCTACATGTTATTAGAATAAATTGATGTTTATTAAACACTTACGCTTCAGCTGATCTCGAAAGCCCGAAAACACACTAAATAAATGTGGACTACCAATGGTAGTAAAGAACTAAATATCACTTAGGTCTTATGAATAATGATGTTTTTATGCAAGGCAGACCAAAATGAGCAGTTTTCGTCCTAGCACTCAATTCCTTGGAGCCCCAACTCCCTACTTTGGATAGGTCATTGAACTGACTATTCGCTTCAAACTACATCCTACTTGCCAAACATAGAGAATTATTTCATCGACTTCTTCCAGTGCCGGTGCGGCTGATGGCCCTATTTTGAAGATTCCTGTCTTGCTCCTGGCTGCTTTGAAGAATTTCGACAAGTTTACAAAGTTATGGCCGGTTTTATTCATTTTTAGGGGTCCCTGAGGGCTAATTTGCATAATGCGAGAAAATACAAATTTCCTCATTCTTGCCAGTTGCACTCGCGCGTTTGGCTGCCTCATTGGGGCTGCCTAGCCTTTAATCAAGTTTATTGACAGTATAGAACCGTATGGTCCTATAACGACCATTTTTATATCATTTTGCACAGTTTGTGGATAGGGAATTTCCTTTAATAAAACCCCGGAAATTTTTTTCAAAAGCAAAAATTTTTCTCTAAGAGCCCTCCTCCCGTGGGGTGGTTGGAGAAAATGGAACCACCGGGATTCTATATCGGAAAATCTTACAAAATTCATCAAAATTATAAAAATTTACGGAAAATATTGACTTTTTGATCAAAAATGTAAGAAAAATGGCCAAAGGGGGTCAAATTTGCTAAGAATTTTATGTACCTTTTTAGCAATAAAAAATTACTAACTAAGACACTATAAAAAGCTTCATTACATAGGTGATCTATTTTCTCGGCTGTAGATTTGATGGCTTTCCTTGGCGGGGGTCGGGGGGGGGGGGGGGGGTCGTCTCCCCACCCCGGCGGCGGTCAAGTTCTAAGTCAGCCGGGAATTCGGCCTGACGGCCGAGAAATCCTCTGCACAGAAAACACACATACTTTTCTCGCTTATAGGATAGGATAATACTCCGACACAAGCAAGTAATACTACGACAAAAGCCTCCTAACGATACGGTATCTGAGAATAGTGCACGAAGCTAGCCGCACAAGCTAGCGCCGCAGGCTAAGGAATAAAGCCAACCATTGAAGCTAGCGCCGCAGGCTTCGGAAGGAAGAAGGTCTCTGCATCTGAAGCTCGCGGCGCAGGCTTAGAGAAGGAGTTGGCCCATCAAACTTGCGCCGCGGGCTTAAGCGTGAAGCTAACCTCACAAACTTGCGCCGCAGGCTTATCCCTCCAGCTTGGGCCGCAGGAGGCTCGCACCTAGCCGTTCAAACATGCGCCAAAGGCCTAATAACGAGACTAGCATTTCAAGCGTGCGCCGCATGCCAATACAAAGAGGTGTGCATGGAAGATGGGTTTTTCTTTCTTCAAGGTAACTTTGTGTGGAAGGGTGCTCGATTAATAGGGAATAGGAATTAAGAATTAACGGGATCCAGCGGCGGGGGAGTCGAGAAGCGGCTCTTCCCCCGCTGGTCTTCTATGAATACTCCAACACAAGCTAGTAATATTACGAAAAAGCCTCCTGACGATACGGTATCTAAGAGTAGTGCATGGTACTGTATGGGAGGGGTAACAACGACCTTCTAGAAGACGTGGCTTCATCCGGACAAGATTCAGAAGCTGAGGCAATCAACCGCTTCCCATGTTCTATGAATACTCCGACACAAGCTAGTAATATTACGACAAAAGCCTCCTGACGATACGGTATCTGAGAGTAGTGCATGGTACTGTATGGGAGGGGTAACAACGACCTTCTTGAAGATGTGGCTTCATCCGGGAGGGAGAGCGAGTGAGAGAGTGCGGGTGCGAGAGAGATGGAGAGAGAGAGAGAGAGAGAGATAGAGAGTGAGAGTCAGAGAGTTAGAGAGATCGGCTTTTAGGCTCTTAGGGTTGAAAAGCCGCTTCGCGACTTTTCAACCCCGTCCCGACCACATGCTGTTTTGCCATTTGCATAATTGTCCTCTATTCAGAAGACAAAAAAATGATAACAACCTCTGCGGCCTCTTTATATAGGGGACAGCTCACTTCCGGTCTATGCTAATAAACCAAAAAAGAGGTATTTAAAAGCCTAAATTTAATTGCGAAATGGCTAATTTTGAAAAATCTGTATGTGTGCAGTGATCCCTATACCATTACGCCACCTAATGACGTATCATAGTGCCCAATACCCTCCCTTCTGAGATATCCTCGGACAGACATCCGGAGGTGGATGCAAAGTGGCACACACACACACACACACAAACACTATTTTTTTATATATAGTAGTATCCTCCCTGCACCCGAAATTTATCGAATAATTTTTACCGTATACATGAACTTTTCTCGCATATAGCGATGACGGTAGCGGATTCCCAAGCAAACCAACTTTTTTTGGTTTTTTCAGCCCAGGAAGCTTATCGTCAGAATCTTAAAACAAAATTCCAAAAAGAAAGCGTACCCGGCCAAAGACTCCAGAAAAGACTATCGTATTCGGCCACCTAATGGCGAGAATACAATTAACTGGAATGCTTTAAGAAAATTGTATTTATCGGGTGCTAAGATGGAGGAATTGGTTATCAACGGGGAGTTCGTGCTTGCTGCTCGTGCTCGTGAAGCTCGTGCACTTGCTTGTGAGGCTCAGAATTCTCGATCTGACCCGCCCAGAAAAGTGATCGTTAGGATCCTAAAAAATCAGAATATTTTTTGAAGGACCTGGAAAGGCGCGGAATCTACCCTGTTTTGACTGGGTCTCGACAATTACGGTTATGCCAAATTACATCAAACGTTAAGCGTTTTAACCCTAGTTACGGAAAGTTCATGTACGATACACATACATCAGCCCGTTAGTAGGTGTATTGCGTAGCTGTCGAGACCTAGTCTAGGAAGGGAGTGGATTTTTGTGATCTGGACCATTTAATTGTACCGTTATCCCGCCAACGCATTCCCGAAAGCCGGCAAAATGGCGGTGACGATGGTGAGGAACCAGCTGGTTTTCATGATGGTTTTCATTCCTTCTCTATAGCCGCCATCGCTTCCTAAAGAATTTTTCGAGCCTCGTTGGTATAATTACATGTCGTAATTCAACAAAATTAAAATAAGCGCTACAAACTTTAGATACAAAATACCGACTCGATCCCATGTCCCGGCATAATAATCCTCGGTTGGCACGCTTTCGGCGCCATGAAACGAGGATATCCATAGGCTAACCGCCCCGACTGCTATCGAATAGGTATGGTTGAAAATCATCTGAAACCGATCGGTGTCGGCATTATGGCTGTCGGGATTAAAGGGATAGTTCAGCCTTGGAGCTTGGGCAGTACTTTCGGTGACTATCGACGCAGGGACGACTCAGGCCAGCTGGCACACTGCGTTGATAGTCTCCCGGGGTACTGCTCAAGCTCGAAGGCTGCAGTATTCCTGAAGGATTGTGTTATGTTCACTGTCGGGATTTTGACGGCTTCCCCTTTCCTTTGCCGACTTACAAACCTGCTTGGCCAGCTTCAAGTCGGCCCGGCTTTTCCCCCGCTTCTGACTGGAATTTTGCTGATTTTTTGCCTGAAACTGACAGTTGATCGTATTCAAAACACCTACCAAATGTCGGCGAATCAGGAAAAACGTAGTCAAATCGGCTGCCAAGCCTGTAAGCATAATCACCACCGTCACAACCCGAAATCCAAAAAGTATCGAACGGTTTTCCGTCGACTCCTCGATCAAAAGCAGGGCGTAGCTGTGGTTTTCGAAGAACAGTTGGGTTTTCACTAAAAGCATGGCGTGACCGTGACGCAACCGCCACGCGTTACTATGGTGTCGAAGAAATTCTTGAGAACCGACGACTTAGCCAATAGACGACGGTTACAGGAATCGTATAAACTGCGAGATATTGGATAAGTCTAGCACTGGATAGTCCTTCCATGTACTTTCCTGAAAGTATCTTTTTTAACACGCAGTAAAGCTAGCTATCCTAATACACATGAAAAATCAGGCAATACGCTTAAAGTTTGCGGAAAATTCTGGTATTCTCTATAATTGAGCTAGCTACACTCTAGACAAGCTGTCTTCGCGCGCGTGTGGCAGAGCGCATCATAACATCACGACATGTAAAACGCGTGCGCCGAAGTCATACAGCGAACACCCATGCTTTATGCGTGCGTAGTGGGGCGTCTTTGTCGACGTAGAATATCTCTATTACCCCTTTTGCCTACCATCAAAAGCCAACGCCGACAGCCGATGTAACGACAAGCAAAATTGGACGAGCTCCAAGATATGTTGGAGAGAATAAGAGACCGTGGCTGGAAAGGGGGCGTAAGTGCGTATGTACGCGTACTAAATAGCGTAATGTACGAAACCCCTTACCCAGCGCCATATTCAAGTAGCCCCCAGCTTGTGTCGCCGCCCCGCAAAATGCTTGATGTTTCCGTGCAATAAATATCCCAGAAACTCCCAGATAATTCGGGACTTCGATACGCCTAAATGGCGCTTGTGTATTATCGGGGGGGGGGCGAGTTTTTTACTCACCCAAAACGTAAAAACGTAGTATTTTGCTTACAATTAACAAAAATATCGATTTCTCATACAAAAATTGCCTATTTTCGACTAAAATTTTTTAAAGTCGATTTTTCGACAAAAAATGGTAGCGGCTAAAACTGTTAATTCCACTTACACCTCTGGATCAGGATAGCTTGTATGTATCACCGTACAGGCACCATCGTAAAATAATACAATCGACTGCGAGATGCGGCTCAAATGCTCGATAGCCAGAAACATGGCGACAAGGCTCGAGATGTGTGCGTTCCGCTTGATTACAATTAACGCTACCGGGTTGGCAAGTAGCGAGACGGCACCAAACTAGAAAAAAAAGATTATAAGGTTATTGGGATAGAAATTTAGAATACAATAAAGGATCAAAATTCGAAGCGTCTTACCAAAAATACCGCCACAAAAACCGTCCATTCCCGGAGGCCAGCTTCCTCGAAAAAATAGAGATGCGGGTTCGCCCATGGGTCGTCCTTGACTTTGCCCGGCTTTTTCGCCATTACTAGTAATAGGAAAATAGTATAAAAATAGATATATAAAAACATCACTACGGTTTGGACACGGGAAATCAGCACTTTGGTTTCCGCTTGATCCACAGTGCAGCAAAAAAATTCAAGCGACCCCCACCCCCCGGAAAATCCTATTTGTCGGGCGCAAACGTTGAAAGCCGCTCTGACAATTTGGCGCCATAATTTAGCTTCATAAAGGGCAATCCCGTGCCAAATCTAAACTTTCTTTAAGTCCAATGGCTTATAAAATGCAAAAAGACAAAAGAATTGAACAGTTTTGTGCTTTTTACGCAATATCGGATATAATAACTTTTATCAAAACGGAATAGCGTTGTAAGGCAGTTTTTTAAAACGATGTTAAGTTAAAACAAGCATTGTATATCATAATCAACATATTCGATTCCCCCAGCCCTCGGCATCCCCGAATTTGTGGGCGGCAATAAGCACGAAGACGGAATATACGGGAAAAAGGAGCACCAGATTGGCGAAATCTCCCCCGGGATAGTCGATTATCTAAAAAACGAAAGATTAAAAATTAAAGATTGCTGGTTTCCGAAAGACGCTAAAGCGCAGCCCGAAGCGCGTGTACGCTGTGCGTGTTGATGCGTCCGTAGGATAATCACATCGACAACTGCCGGGCTATTGGAGAGTTCAATGTGACTAAATTAGGAAGGCTAGAAATTTAACAACAACTACCGATCTGTGTCCGGATAATTGGTACGCAACACGGCGCAAGCGCCATCGTAGAATAGTATAATCGACTGCGCGATTCGACTCGAATGCTCGATGGCCAGAAATATGGCGACAAGACTTGAGATGTGCGTATTCCGTTTTATTACAATTAAAGCGACAGGGTTGGCGAGTAGCGAGACGGAACCAAACTAAAAAAAGGGAATTTGAAGATTTGGAATTAGGACTCGCTGACCAAAAATATCGCCACAAAAACTATCCATTCCCGAAGGCCGGCCTCTTCGAAAAAGTAGAACTGGGGATGGACCCGCGGATCGTTTTTCTCTTTGTCGGGCTGTTTGGCAGATACGAGTGATAGGATAGCATTAAAAACATAGACGCATAAAAGCATATTTTTGACTCTATAAGCCCCAAAAGTCAGCTTTTCCTTTAACTTCCGCTTAATCGAGTGCAGCTAAAAGTTCCAGCGGGTATGCGGCCCTATTAATTCCCCCAGGCTTTACTCGGCGCCCAAATTTGATCCTAGGTTTTAGCTGCCGGGCACTTGCATCTTTATTACCACCCAATAAAAAACTAAAACTATACTAAGATGTACGATGATTCTTATTATGATAACCCGTTGGAGAGTGGGCAGCCGACGGTGCTGGTTCCGATTCGGGCCCTGATTTCGCCGCACGATTGCCTGGATCTCGTCTACTGCTCGACGCTCGTTTTTGGGCAGGTCGTCAATCTTTATGCCCTGTATTATTTATTCACCAGCCCGTATAAAGAGGGGAATAAAGCAAAGCTTCTCTTGGCGTATGTGTATGTGTCGGTACGTTTTTGGGGGCAAGACTCTAGTTCTTTACTTTTCGTTCGCCCAGCAGGCTCCCTAACTTTCATATCTTGTATCTTGTTGACTTACAGGTATGTCAAGTATACCAAAAAACTAGCCAGAGCCAAACGAACATTTTTGGTATACCTGACACACCTGTAGGTCAACGACCGTCTCCTAGGTAGCACGAATACGTTTCATTTGAGTCAAAAAAATAACGGAAAATAAGACAAATTGAAGTTAAAAAGTATAAGACGACTAAATAAAACCAAATATACTACATAAAAAGCGAGGTTTACAGAAAAAAGAATAAACCATTCTTGGGCAGCAATCGTTTATTAATTTCCAACCCCAGACGGCGCTGGCCAGCTTCACCCCGCTCTTCACCCTCCCAATATTACACGCAGCGTCGCAACTCGTCGATCTGGGCCTGGTTTTTATGAAAATCTTCAAGGGATATACGGTACGTTTTGATTCTATTGACTTGGTTTTCTTCAGTTAACCCAATTTTACGATCCAATGATCACCCCATACTTTTTGTGCACGTTCGTTGTGCAAAGCCACCTGGTTATAGCGATTTTGGTGAATGTTGTCCGATTAGTTGGCGAGTGGAGGAAGCTTGACGAATTTGAGGTTATACCTTTATTAATTTAATACAGAAAAAAGCTATACTTTAGGCGGTGCCTTTCCATAATGCGTTGATCCTACTCTTTGCCGGCATCATCCCGGCCGCCTACGCTGTCAGCTTCAGTTTCAAGTTCCACTACAACAAAAATGTATACTACGCCTGGACAGTAGGCTTTTGAATGGAATAGCATAGAACCAAAACTTTTTATGTACTTTAAACTGCAGTAAAACGTAGATTAAGCAGTTTTTCAGGGCGTAGAGCTGTTCTGGCTAAACGTCGAGTTTTGCCAAATCTGCTGCATCGCTTATGCCACTGTCAAATGCCTCCAAATCCCTGTGGATTTGTGGAAACGCGACTGGGAAGCACTTGTTGCAAATAGTTTTTTATTAATTTTACCGGCAGGTATATGGTTTTCGATGCCGATTGAGGATAAGGTAAGGTGATCGGCAAAGCAGGGCAACTGGCCGAAAACGCAGCCAACGCACAGAGTGCATGTGTGCCGAATAGCGCACCGTACTCACGCTTCGTGCTGCGCTCTAGTGTCTCTCGATAACGGCAAATCTTCGGTTAGATTTTATCGATTCTGTCTTTTAGATAATCGACTATCCCGGGGGAGATTTTGCCAATCTGGTGCTCCTCTTTCCCGTATATTCCGTCTTTGTCCTTATTGCTGCCCACAAATTCGGGGATGCTGAGGGCTGGGGGAATTGAATATGTTGATTATGATATACAATGCTTGTTTTAACTTAACAAAGTTTTAAAAAACTGCCCTACAACGCTATTCCGTTTGATAAAAGTTGCTATATCCGACATTGCGTAAAAAACGCAAAACTGTTCAGTTCTTTTGTCTTTTTACATCTTATAAGCCATTGGATACGAAGAAAGTTTAGTTTTGGCACGCCATTGCCCTCTATGAAACTAAATTATGGCGCCAATTTATCAGAGCGGCTTCAACATTTACGTGCGATAAATGAAATTTTCGGCCAGCCGCTTGATTTTATTGCTGCACCCTGGATCAAGCGGAAGCCAAGGTGCTGATTTTCGAGTCAAAGCCCAAGCCGATGTTTTTATCTATCTATTTTTATACTACCTTCCCATTACTTGTAATGTCCAAAAAGCCGGGCAAAGTCAAGGACGACCCATGGGCGAATCCGCATCTCTATTTTTTCGAGGAGGCTGGCCTCCGGGAATGGACAGTTTTTGTAGCGATATTTTTAGTCAGGCGTTTCTAATCTTTAGACCTTACGATCTTTTTTTCTAGTTTGGTGCCGTCTCGCTACTCGCGAACCCTGTGGCGTTAATTGTAATCAAGCGGAACGCACACATCTCCAGCCTTGTCGCCATGTTTCTGGCGATCGAGCATTTGAGCCGCATCTCGCAGTCGATTGTATTGTTTTACGATGGTGCCTGTACGGTGATACATACAAGCTATCCTGATCCAGAGGTGTAAGTGGAATTACCACTTTTAGCAGCTACCATTTTTGGTAAAAAAAATCGATTTTCTTTTTTAATTGTTAGTCGAAAATAAGACATTTTTGCCATTTAGGCGTATCGAAGTTTCGAATTATCCGGGAGTTTCTGGGATCTTTATTGCACGGAAACATCAAGCATTTTGCGGGGCGGCGACACAAGCTGGGGGCTACTTGAATATGGCGCTGGGTAAGGGGTTTCGTACATTACGCTATTTAGTACGCGTACATACGCACTTACGCCCCCTTTCCAGCCACGGTCTCTTATTCTCTCCAACATATCTTGGAGCTCGTCCAATTTTGCTTGTCGTTACATCGGCTGTCGGCGTTGGCTTTTGATGGTAGGCAAAAGGGGTGATAGAGATATTTTACGTCGACAAAGACACACCACTACGCACGCATAAAGCATGGGTGTTCGGTGTACACGCACGTAGTCCAGTCTCGGCTACGTCTCGCAACAATATACAAGTTTTTCGGTGTTTTTCAAGCAATAACAATGCAAGATCCATGCAAAGACTTCGGCGCACGCGTATTACGTGTCGCAATGCTATGATGCGCTCTGCACCGAGTCGGCGTGTCTAGAGGACCCTAGCGTAGCTCAATTATCGAGAACATCAGTCACCTATAGACGAGATTTTTGCTGCGATCTTTTATATGAAGCGTATTTACTCATTTTTTTTTGATGTTTACTGCCTTTGTTAAGAAGATACCTTCAGGAAAGTACATGGAAGGGCTCTCTAGTGCTAGACTTATCCAATATCTCGCAGTTTATACGATTCCTGTAACCGTCGTCTATTGGCTAAGTCGTGGGTTCTCAAGAATTTCTTCGACGCCATAGTGACGCGTGGCGGTTGCGTCACGGTCACGCCATGCTTTTAGTGAAAACCCAACTGTTCTTCGAAAACCACAGCTACGCCCTGCTTTTGATCGAGGAGTCGACGGAAAACCGTTCGATACTTTTTGGATTTCGGGTTGTGACGGTGGTGATTATGCTTACAGGCTTGGCAGCCGATTTGACTACGTTTTTCCTGATTCGCCGACACTTGGTAGGTGTTTTGAATACGATCAACTGTCAGTTTCAGGCAAAAAATCAGCAAAATTCCAGTCAGAAGCGGGGGAAAAGCCGGGCCGACTTGAAGCTGGCCAAGCAGGTTTGTAAGTCGCCGAGGATTATTATGCAGGGACATGGGATCGAGTCGGTATTTTGTATCTAAAGTTTGTAGCGCTTATTTTAATTTTGTTGAATTACGACATGTAATTATACCAACGAGGCTCGAAAAATTCTTTAGGAAGCGATGGCGGCTATAGAGAAGGAAAACAATATCATCATGAAAACCAGCTGGTTCCTCACCATCGTCACCGCCATTTTGCCGGCTTTCGGGAATGCGTTGGCGGGGTAACGATACAATAAAATAGTCCAGAACAGAAAAAATCCACTCCCTTCCTAGACCAGGTCTCGACAGCTACGCAATACACCTACTAACGGGCTTATGCATACCGGTGCATGGAATCATACATGATCTTTCCGTAACTAGGGTTAAAACGCTTAACGTTTGATGTAATTTGGCATAACCATAATTGTCGAGACCCAGTCAAAACAGGGTAGATTCCGCGCCTTTCCAGGTCCTTCAAAAAAATCCTATCCTGTAAGCGAGAAAAGTATGTTTGTTTTCTGTACAGCCGATTTCTCGGCCGCCAGGCCGAATTTTGAGCTGATTTTTGGCATGGAGGTGGAGAAACACATTTGTCAGTGACGCATTTTTTTGTTTTTCGAAATTCCTTCATTTAACGGTTTTACAAGCAAAATAGTGAAAAATCCTTAACATCTTGGCCGAAAAAAGGTTTGTTCAGAGGATAACTCTCGAGCCAAATGGAATTAGGCGCTAATTTTTGGAGGGCAGATTGAAAATTACATTCTCCTGTGATATAATTCTGGGTTTTGGCAGATTTTGTAATCTAAAATTTTTATGAGCATTTTTCCAAAAAGTCCTTAACAAAATGGACCAAAAGCCGTGGTGTCCGGGGCATAACTCGAAGCCCTGATGGAATTCCGGGCTGAAATTTGGACCACTTATGTAATCGATGGTGCTTCTTAGGCGCAGCTTATTAGATTTTACAAATTCGATCATCTTCCACCTCAAAAATCGACTTTTATAAAGTGACTAGACGGCGCCCGGAGGGGGCCCCGGGGATGAAGAGGCCTGTCCCGCATCGCAGTCCCAACTCCCTGTGGTGTAAGGGAAGCGCAGCAGGTCCAGGGCGCTAGGGGTCAAGGGTTCGGATCCGGCGCGATGACTACTTTTTGCTTTTTGGTAATTCTTCAAACAAACATATTGCTTGGCTCTCCGTATGCGAGATTTAGGTCTGGCCCTCGCTCTAGCGCCGCAGGCCAAAGGAAACGTCCTTGGCTCGGACTCTCCCACCGCAGGCCAAATCCTGGAGGAAATCAGTAAATAGCGCCGTAGGCTCAAAGATTCTCGCTGCGTTGGCTCTGGCGCCGCAGGCCATGGATGGTTCCTTGCCCCAGATCAGCTAAATCCGCGGGGGGAGAAGGTAGTAGCTGGCGCCGCAGGCTCAAAGATTGGAGCGCAACGCTGGCTCTTGCGCCGCAGGCCAAAGGATGGTTCCTTGACTCAGGCTCTTGCGCCGCAGGCTTCAAAAAAAGGAAAGAGAATTCATGGGTCCTAGACGGGGTCCAGTGGAAAAGGGCCGCGAAGCGGACTTTTTCCACTGGTATCTTGATGATTTAGGATCCTAACGATCACTTTCCTGGGTGGGTCTGGTTGAGAATTTCGGCTTCAGAAGCAAGAGCACCAGCCTCACGAGCACGAGCAGCAAGCACGATCTCCACCCTGACAACCAATTCCTCAATCTTATCACCCGATAAATACAATTTTCTGAAAGCAATCCCGTTAATTGTATTACCGCCATTAGGTGGCCGAATACGATAGTCTTTTCTGGAGTCTTTGGCCGGGTACGCTTTCTTTTTGGAATAAAATTTGTTTTAAGATTTTGACGATAAACTTCCTGGGCTGAAAGAACCAAAAAAAGTTGGTTTACTTGGGAATCCGCTACCGCTATCGCTATATGCGAAAAAAGTTCATGTATACGGTAAAAATTATTCGATAAATTTCGGGTGCAAGGAGGATAAGAGCCTAAAAGACGATCTCTCTAACTCTCTCTCTCTCTCTCTCTCTCTCTCTCTCTCTCTCTCTCTAGTTCGCACTCACTCACTCACTCAATCAATCACTCAATCACTCTCTCTCCCTCTCTCACTCACTCTCTCTCCTTCTCTCTCGCGCCCTCACTCTCTCACGCGCTCTCCCTCACGCGCGTGGGTTTCATATATCCTGGTCAACTTTCTCGATTCGGTCGAATCTTGAATATATATCTGTTTGTGTCAGGTGCCGATTATTCTCCAAATTTTTGGAGCCAAATTTATTCCCAACGCACATAAGACCGGTCATCACAAGGGAACGCATTTCAATTCGAATAGCACAAAAAAATCAGATGAACACACAATTTCCTTTAAACAAAAATTCGGCCGCAAGCGATCACGGGTAAAAGCTGCGCGGCGGGTCGAGCAACTGCTTGTACGCGTTCAGCACCCGATCGTCAACGCATTCGTAGTCCAGGTCATCCTGAAAAAACAAGGTTTCATAAAACAAACATGTTGGCTACCCTGAACATCCGGCAACGACCATTCCCGGCGAAGCCATGCATGGCCTAAAAAGGATGGATTCTCAAAAAAGTGGATGAGCTCGTACTCGATCAATGGCCAGTTCTTTGGCGGGCAGCGTGTCGTGGAGCGGTGTAGCGGCCCAGTCTTTCAACAAGGCTTCGCATCGACGACGGGCAGCTAGGGGCTAAAAGGATTCATTTATCACTCTCTCTCTCTCTCTCTCTCTCTCTCTCTCTCTCTCTCTATCTCTCTCTCTCTATCTCTCTCTCTCTCTCTCTCTCTCTCCCCTTAACCTACATCGGCATTCTTCTTCCGCTCTGCATGGCCGTTCTTAGTCTCATCCGAGCGGAGCTCTTCCTTCATCATCTCTTGACCACCAAAGGCGCTTCGAATGGCCTCCTCGGCGTCAGTAGCCGCCTGGATGTACGCGTAGCGGATCGCGCAATCGCGCTCTCTAAAACGGGAAATAGCGGCCGATTTCAAAGTCCCAACCGGCGGATGGCGTAGTTGCACGTGATGAGAAGGATCTTGGTCGGGAGCATTGCAACCAGGAGCGCATCGTTGCTCTGAAAACGCGAGATTTGCAAAGTTCCCCGAAACCATGCCGATTTTAACGATTTTGGGGTTCTTTGCGGTGACCGGGGGGAGGGGGTTAGAATCAGATTTTTCAAATATACATAAAATAACTAAAAAAATGTTTAATCGGTCTAATTTTTGTATTGCTAAAAACATTGTAAATTCGACGAAAATGGTTTTAATTCTGCTAGGCATTTTTGGGAAAAATTTGGCTCCCCCGTTAAACCCCGCCCCCCGCTAAGAATCCAGTACCGTTTTGGGGACAACCAGTATTGTCTAAGGTTCTGGTTCGTTAGCGGGGGCGGGGAGCAGTCAGTTTCACTCCTCCCCCCTTAGGCGGATTGGGAGCCCCCGCTAACGCACCAGCACCGAGTTTGGCCCAAAAAAGCTTCCCACCGTCGGGTTTTTGCGGATGAGATACCCGAACTGGCTTCGCTGCATTCGGTAACGCTCGGCTCCATGGCCCCGGCACGCCTTCTCCGCAAGTGCTTGCAGGCCTGGAAAGCGGGTGAGTTCTTGGAGACCCAGGGGCCACAAACATGGATCGATGGTCCTCCACTCCAGTTTACATCCACGGGAGTGGTCGTAGAAATTGACAGAGATGTGCTCCATATCGCGCTCGCCCCGTTTCCACTGCTAAAAACGGGTTCTTTCGCATTATCGGGGGAGGGAATTGCCGGGATTTTATATCCAAAAGGAAAAAACACACCCATTTTTCGATCAAAATGGATGATTTTGATCATAATTTCGACTTCACACTAACCTGTTTTACAATGTTTTAGCAAACGACGGTCACCTACTTTTTGCCCGATTTTGGTGGTTGCAAAATTTCACAAAAAATCGCTTGAAAAACAAAAAAAATCGGTCGTTTTTGGTCGAAAAAAATCAGTCTCTCCACCGAAATTTTTTTCGGAAAGAATTTATGCTTCTAAAGCTAATCCCCCCCCCGGTAACAAACAAGCGCCGGCCTTTCGGTTGCCAAAAACTGCCCGGCGCACCTTGATGATCTTGGACAGGATGGACGGCATGACGATGTCGAACTGCTGGATCGTCTTCCAGTCGGGGCAACGCCATCCTGTAAAAATTGCTGTAATGGTTATTTCGTATTTTTAAATTATTTTTTGTTGCAATTTTTACGGTACTGGACTGTTAGCAGGAGGGGGAGTGGTTTTGAGCAGGGCAAAACTAATTTTTGTTTTCCGCTTAAACCTGTTGTTAATAAGAGAGTATTTTGATACTGTTTTTCGTAGCTTTTGGTTGCGAGAAAGTTAAAAATGTTTTAAAATTTTTTGAAAACTCGAGAATTATGATCATTTTTGAACAAAACGTAAAAAATGTCGCCCCTCCCGCTAACCGCCCAGTACCACATCAGAAGCTCTCACACACTTTTATGGCAGACCAGCGAGACGTAAACGTCCATGTCGGCGATGCGGACGTCCGGTAGAATCGACAGCTCCGAGACGTTCGAGCCAAATCCGAGCCACATTTTTTTCAGATGCTGAAAATTTTTTAGTAAAGTTCCGTAGTCGTAGTAATAAGTTTACCGGCATATCCGCGATCACTTGGAAGACTTCAGAGCCGAACGTGCCCGTGACGGCGATCGGGTCGGCGTGCATGGCCACGCAAGAAGGATCCATGGAAGCTATAAAAGGATTTGTGTTTTGTAGTTGCCCGGAAATCTAACGAACCAAGTTGCTTGATGAGGGCGTCCTTGGGCCCCTTGATCTGTAGAAGCGCCGTGTCGACGCGGATGTACGGAGGCGACTTGTATTGATCGAACGCGGGCAACATCCAGTCGCCACCGAGTCCGTACTGAAAAAATGAGGTAAGGAAGTGCCCGACTTATGTGTAAGTAGGAATGAGCTTAGATTTATACTGAGGCTTAGGCTTAAGCTTACATTAGGCTTATGCTTAGGCTTAAGCTTAGATCTAAGCTTAGGCTTAGCTGCTTAGGTTTGGGCTTACATTAGGCTTAGGCTTATGCTCAGCTTGGGCTTCGGTTAGGCTTTGGCTGCGGCTTAGGCTTAGGCTCAGGTGCAGGCTTTAGTCTTAGGCTTAGGCTTCGGTTAAGCTTAAACTTAGACCTAGGCTTAGGCTTAGGCTCAGGTTAGGCTTAGGCTCAGACACTGGCTAAGAACCCCTTCTTACTTGGTCAAGGACGGCATTGTTGAGCAGGGTGTGGAGCTCGCGTCGGGCCGGCTTGTCTCGGTCTTCGTCTGGATCGACGTGAAAACACCGTTCCTGGAGCGTCGAGCAGGTGTCGCCGGCCGTGCGCCGGTGGTGACTAAATAACGATTAGGCTGATGAAATTGCGCTCACGCGTAGGAGTCTCCGTATTTGAAGACGTATCGAATTTCCGGTTCCCACCAAGGCCGGCACCCGAGAAGTTGGAACGTGCTGAAATGATTTTTTTTAAGTAAGATCTCCAGATAACCCCCAACCGCCCCAACTCTTGTATCTCGGCTCTTTGTTCATCTAAAGGCGTATAAAGTATACAAAAATGTTGGTCTTGTACTGGCGAGTATTTTGGTATACTTTACACACCTGTAGCTGAACAGAGAGCAGAGATACAAACGTTGAGGCCGGCTGGGGGGTAATTGAAGTTTAGCCGATTTTTCGACCAAAAATAACCGTTTTTACCAAAATTTCGACGTGTTAAAAATTTTTTCAACATTTTTAGCTGAATTTTTAAAGTTCTACTAACCAAGGCATTAAACCTTAAACCAAAGCGAACATTTCCATACTTTTTACGGTCCTGTCGCACAAAATGGGAGCCGTAATTATTAAATCAGAATTGAGAAGCCCACTCGGGTTTCGGTTTGTCCTTGACCAGAGCCATCTGCGACGCCTCGCCCGCCCTCAGGAACACCCATTTCTTTGGCGACTTGGTGATGAGGTCCTGGAAAAATCGGTCTAAAGCCGTAAGTTTTAGGTTAGAGTGCAGTTTACCCCCCAGCCGGCACCAAACTTTTGTATCTCGGCTGCCTGTTCCTGGGCGTGAAGTATACCAAATGTTCGTCTTGCTCTGGCGAGTATTTTGGTATGTTTTACACATCTGTAGATGAACAGGGAGCCCAGATACGGTAGGTGGGTGCAGGCTAGGGGGGGGGGTAAACTGCACTTAAGCCAGGTTTTATGCACCAGAAGATCTGAAAAAGTTTCCGATGGTCGAAACTCTATGTAAGTTGTTTTCTTACAACAAAAATTGCTAGGCATCTTTTACGGAGTTTTGAAAGTTGTAATGAATAGGCGCTAAGCCTCAGCCTACCCGGTGTTTCTAACCCGAATATTTCATTTTTTTTGCGTTTTGCGACTCAAGGGTACTGTGTTTTTACTCTAGGTTTAAATGGGTACATTTTGGCACCCGTGCTAGCTCTGTGCGTTCAAGAAGGGCCGATATACAGAAACTAAATTTGGACCGGCAAAGGGAACTAAAGTAACCCAGGCTTAGAATTGTCATAAATCTTCTCGAAATTATTGACGTAAGAAAACAAATTGGTCATGGAGTGTCAGGAATGGCGACCATTTTTAAAGACTCAGCGCATTAATAGGACTTATGGCTGTAAAGCGGGCGGGGCGAACCCAACGTTGCGCACCTTGAATAGGGGGAGCAGCAGCGGCCAAGTTGAGCAGATCGATCGGCGTCCAGCTCTCCATCAGCATCCTCCAGACGCGGGGCGGAAGCTGGGTGTAGGCCCCGAAGGCCAGTAGAGTGCCGGGAGGTCGCTGGAATACAAGAGGTGCTGGACTGTTAACGGGAGGGGGAGGGGCTCAGGCTTGGCATGGAAAGCTAATTTTTTTCGCCTGTTGATGATCTATGGCGTGCTTTGCTAGTTGTTTTGGTAGTTTTTGATTGCTGGAAAAGAATAATTAGAAAAATTTAGAAAGTTCCAAAATGCCTCCTTTTGACAATTTTTCATGCATTTTTGGCTACAAAGTCAGCAATTTTCGAAAATATTCATAAACTTATAATCGGCTTTTTTTTTAAAAAACCGTGTAAAATGCAATAAAATGGTCGATATTTCGTCGATAGGGCGTACAGAAATGTCTTTGACTTTTTGGTCGAAAATGCATGGAAAATGATCAAAAAAGGTCAAAAATTTTCGCATTTTCAACATTTTAAAAACCTTCCCCCCCGCAAATAGTCCAGTATCGGGAAATTGGACCATTGGTGAGCGGAATTACAAATATCAAATTAGTACCTTCATCGACTGCAACACGTACAGCTCGGCCGAATCACCGACGTGTTGCCTGATGGGAGAAGTGGCAACCTGAACGCCGAACTTTTGAGCGATAGCTGATAGTGACTACCGAACTCATCGTAGGAAACGGCACAAAAATGGGATGTGACGATGGTCGGGGGCAAAGAGATGACCGCCGAGGCAGAACTCGTGGTCGATCAGGAAGAACAACAATTTCACGCGAACCGGGAAAAAACGAGCAGAGATGCAAATATGGTATGTAAATTAACGTGCAGAATCCACTTCGCAGGGCTTTTTAGATTTTCGCTTTAATTTTGGGACTTTAACTCGTTTTGATCGTGCATAGAAAAAATACTACAATTTTTAAATTCACCTCAAAATCTGGCATTGAAAGAAAGTTATCCTGCCTTATATAATTTTGGAGTGTAACTGTGTGTGTGTGTGTGTGTGTGTGTGTGTGTGTGTGTGTGTGTGTGTGTGTGTGTGTGTGTGTGTGTGTGTGTGTGTGTGTGTGTGTGTGTGTGTGTGTGTGTGTGTGTGTGTGTGTGTGTGTGTGTGTGTGTGTGTGTGTGTGTGTGTGTGTGTGTGTGTGTGTGTGTGTGTGTGTGTGTGTGTGTGTGTGTGTGTGTGTGTGTGTGTGTGTGTGTGTGTGTGTGTGTGTGTGTGTGTGTGTGTGTGTGTGTGTGTGTGTGTGTGTGTGTGTGTGGATGTCACTTTCGAGGCCCGATTTGAGGGCCTTCCCGTGTCAAAAACGCCCCAATTCTCCGTCACCCGGAGGAATCGACCCTTCTGTTTCCGATCGCGTGTTCAGAATTTCGATAAAATACAAGTTTACAAAGTTAAGGCCGGTTTTATTGATTTTTGGAAGTCCGGGAGGGCTAATTTGCATAACACGAAAAATACAAATTTCCTCATTCTTGCCAGTTGCACTCGCGCGTGTGGTCGGGGCGGGGGGGTCCGCAGGACCCGAGCTATTAGAAAGTCAAAATTTTCATGCAAAGACCCAATTCCAGCGCCCAAGGCCCGCGAAGCGGGTTTTGGGCGCTGGTAGAAAAATAAAAATGAAACGCAGGTTGCAAAGTTGTTGGATTTCGAGATTTTGCCTGTTTTGGATTTTTGAGGACGTCTTTCGACGGACCATCGAAGGTAGACTACGGATTTTTAAATCCAGCTCGAAATATCATACCTTATATAATTTCGGGCCTATCTCTGTGTGTACGTCTGGATGGATGTCAGTTGCGAGGTCCGATTTGAGGGCCCTGAAAATGACCTGATTCTCCGCAACCAGGGCGAATCGACCCTCCTCTTTCCGATGACGTGTTCAGAATTCCGATAAAATACAAGTTTACAAAGTTAAAATTATTCATTTGGGGTCCCTATGGTCAATTTGCATAATGTAAAAAAATACAAATTCCTCATTCTTGCCAGTTCACGCGCCTGACTATGAGGTCGGTCGGGAGCGAAGGGCCGAAAGTCACATTTTTCATGAAAAAACCGCATTCCAGCGTTCAAGCCCCACGAAGCCGGGGTAAGAGTCTAGAACCCCCACAGCCGGCACCAACTTTGTATCTCGGCCCCCTTGTGCTAGCGAGCTCTAAAGTATACCGAAAGTCGCCGTAGGCTAATTAGTAAGACTACATTGCAGTTCAGTCGAAAAGGCGAAAAAAAAAAACGAGAGAAAGGTTGAAAGCGGCTGGGGTCCTAGACTTGAGCCGAAGCCGGTTCTGGGCGCTGGTTACAGTATGAAGGTTACAGCAAAACAAAAATAATCATCGAAAAGGGTTTGGAGTGCTGTTTTGCTTCCGTTTTCGCTATTTTTCGGAATCTCTGAGAAGCCATTCGATAAAGCATCAAAAAAACAACACAAGGACAGTATGAAACAAATATGCTACATTGCCAAAAAAATTAAGATACGGTTTTCCTATTTTTCGAAGCATCAAAATTGTGCTATTTTTTGATAGAGCATCAATAAATATGCCAATAGCTTGATCGCGCTTTAAAATTTACTATAAAGCATGCATTTTGATATATTAGTGTTTTTTTGCACCAGGTTGGCGTCACCAAAACTTTATTCATACCCAAACAAACATCATCCCAAGCGACAAAAAGTCAATCACACCGAGTCGATCATAAAACACAAGAATTAGCACGAATACAAAACGAAAACTAAACGCCGTTCGGGCTCAAAGCTTATTATGGCATCGGCATGTGGAGGTACGTCATCAAAATCGGGTCGCGTGCTCCGGAGAAATCAGGGGTCTTCTGCAAAAGTCAATTAAGGTGTGTCATCCTGTTGCTGGCGCGATTCTGGGTACTGGACTGTTAGCGGGGGGGCGGGTGGTTAAAGAATCCTCGCTAGACCTCCAAGCCCCCCCACTAACAGTCCAGTACCCAAAAAATACATTACACAAATAGCGCTTTACAAATCGCCTTTTCTTTACTAGTTAAACGGCTCAATTTCTGTTAAAATAACGAAATTTTTCGTCAAAATTCAATTTAATTAGAATTCAATTAAATTCTCGAATCACTCTGCTAATTTTAGGTAGTTTTTAACGGCTTGTAAATGGTTTTAATAACTGCTACAAAACTTCGATTACAAGCGGACGGATTGAAAAACCGCTCAAAAGTTTTTTTTGCGAGAATCTTTTAAAAATCTAAGTTTATCAGCTTAAAAATCCACTAATTCTGAAAGGGGCTCACCGAGAACATTTGCCAGTGATCCAGCGGGTACCAGCCTTCGAGGAGCTACAAATGGGTGGATGCCGGACTCAGGCAATGATCTCTTACGCGATCGATGGTCAGCTCGCGGGTAGGGATCGTGTTGTCGGGCATCGTCTGGAGCCAATGTTTCTCCGCTTCTGCAGCGCACCGACGCGAAACGCGGAGGCGCTAAAACGGAATACTTTGGTTTCTTTTCTACTCTGTATCCCTCGGTTGTTCTGATTGGGGCTCTCGTCCACTCATTCGCTAACGCACTCTCCCCCTCTCTCGCCCTCTCTCACTCACGCTCAAACGCCCTCTCACTCTTCCACTCACTAACTCAGCCAATCACCAAGTCACTCTCTCTCTCTCTCTTTTTCTCGCTCTCTCTATCTCCTTCCCTTACCTCCTTACAACGACCATAATCCGTTCTGTTTCCATCGTATGCTCGGCGAATCGAGTTCTCTGCCTCACAGCATTTGGCCACGTAGGCGTTTCGCTGGCGCCAGCTGCGGGTCCTGAATGGGGCTCAAAATATTCCATTTTTCAAGCCCGACCAACCTGCGGAAATTGTAATCGCAGCTGGCGAGCACGATCTTTGCGTCGAGGCAAGCGACGACGAGCCCGTGGCTGCTCTGTAACAATGGAATCATGGTTCTGGTGCGTTAGCGGGGGGGAAGAAGAGAAGTTCCACAACCCTGTTAAAACATAAATTTACAAAAACTTCTAGAATGTTTGTAGAATTTCCTAGCCACCAAATTCTATCAGATAAAATAGGAGACAAATATATCGAAAATAGCCATTTTTTACCAAAATTTCGACTTTTTAACAAATTTCTTAAATTTTTTAGGCAGTTTTATAGTTGAAATGTCGTTAGGCTTTACCAACAAACACTATTCAAACACGGTCCAAGAATTTACCTAAAATTTCCACACTGATTTGTACAAAAAGCTCGACCCCCCCCTCGATAATGCCAAAGAACGCGGCCCGGAACCGGGGAAATGACGGCCTACCGATTCGTGGCGCCGAATGACGAAGTAAGCGTACGGTGTAGCAGATGGTAGCGGGTCGGCATCCTTGTCAACAAAAACGTCAATCTGACGGGCGTCCGACTTCCCCTTGCACAACACCTCGGCCAGTTTGGACGGGTCTGTAAAATCGATCGATGCAATACAGCACACCGGCGCCCCGAATCCCCCACGGGATTTGGTTGTCTTCTATCCGATCTAGCCCAAACTTTCACCAGCGATGCGGACCTATAAAAACTATACGCACGCGAGTTTTCAGGGCAAAATATTGTAAAGCAACAAAGTTATCGCTAAAAATGGGTGTTTTCGGAACGTTCGCACTGGTATTCGCCTAGATTTTCGAAATTAGCATCCCGATTTTGCGTAATTTCGCGAAAAATCGTCATTTTCGCACATCTTTCTGACGGGTTTGGTGGTAAGAAATGACGATAACAATATTTTTGTACACACAAATTGCCTTTTCACGTTGCTAAAGATCTGCGGTCAAAATCGTTCAAAATCGCAGTGCAATCGAAAACCAAACCCAAATTTTTAATATAACTTTTTTTTACAATATGTTGCTTAAACAATTCGGGTGCACAAATTTTTTATAAATATAATTTTGGGGTGTATCTCTGTGTGTGTGTGTGTCCGGCGCCAGGGAGGGCTACTTTGCATAATTCCAAAATACAAATTTCCTCATTCTTGCAGTTGCACGCGGGGTGTGGTCGGAGGAAGGAGGGGTCCGAAGGACCAGCTATCGGAAAGTCAATTCTCATGCAGAGGCAGCATTCCAGCACCCAAGGCCCGCGAAGCGGGTTTTGGGCGCTGGTTTTTTATAAATCCCCATGGCTGGTAAAAAGTTGTGCCCGATTGGATAGGAGACCATCAAATGCCGAGGGTTTTTTGGGATATCCTAGAGCATGACAAACCCGGCCCCCCCAAGCCGACCACCAACTGCTGTATATCGGCCTCCCGCTCTTCAACAAGGCTGTAAAGTACACCAAAATGTTTGTCTTGGCCTGGCGAGTATTTGGATTAACTTTACAGCCCGGTAGCACCCTGGGGAGCCGAGTTACCGTAGCTGGGCGCCGGCTGTTCGGGGAAGGGGATAGGCTACGAACCCAGAGGCGTCGACGACCAGTCTTCGCACTCGCCATCGTTCCGGTGCGAGTTGATGAAGATGAGCCCAATCTCGCGTTCACCTCGCTCCCATTGCTGAAAAATTAGGTTTTTTGACGCGAAAATCCATTTTCTCTTGCATTTTACAAAAGTTTTGAAAGCTAAAAACTTAAAGTTATACATTTCGAAAAATGTTGGGTGTTTAATCCAAAACAGTATCGGAAATGGCCCAAAAGATCCAGAATTTTAGATAAGTTCCTAGAAATCAATAAAAAACTACCAAAAACGCTGTAAAACGGCATCCTATATGCCGGCCAATAAGGCGAAACAGTAAAAATAAACTTACCTCTTCCCCACCCCCCCGCTAACAGTCCGGTACCCAAAAAAAACCATATTAAATTTGGGAAATAAGGTATATTGTGGTTTTTAATTGCAAAGATCTTATAGCCCCTCCAACGCACCCCGATCATGTTGCCGAGCGTCTCCAGAAACAGCTTGAAGAGAGCGGTTGGGTTGAGCGAATCTAAAGAAAAAGATAAGGTTCTTTATCTTTCCTCACCTTTCTGCTTGACAAGTGAGATGTAAATGGCTAGGTTGGGGACGAGAATTTCAGCGAGTACCGACAGCTCGGAGATGTTAGAGCCCAGGCCGAGCCACAGCTTTTTCAGGCGCTGAAAAGTTTTGAGTGAGGTTGCGTACTCGTAGTAATAAACTTACCGGCATAAATGTGGTGACTTTTTTCACTTCGGAGCTGAACGTGCCCGTGATGGCGGTCGGGTCGGCGTGCATGGCCACGCAGAAAGGATCCATGGAAGCTATAAAAGAATGTGTAGTTTGTAGCTGCCCGGATATCTGACGAACCAAGCTGCGCGATGAGATCGTCCTTTGGGCCCTTGACCTGAAGCATGGCGGTGTGGGCGCGTATTGAGGGGGGTGTTTTGTACTGCTCCGGGGCCGGCAGGCGCCAGTCTGGGCCAACGCCGTACTGAAAAAAGGAGGTAAGTAGAGCTAGCTTAGCTTAGGCTTGGCTTAGGCTTAGGCTGAGACTCGGGCCTCGGTTTAGGATTAGGCTTATGCCTAGGCTTGAGGTTAGCTCTGGCTCCCAAAGCTGCTCAACCCCTCCTCACCCGCTCGAAGGTCGAATTGTTGAGGAGCACGAAGAGATCTCGGCACGCTACCCGCTCGCGATCGCCACCGACGGGGACGAAAACACATCGCCCTTCACCGTACAATTCGCCCCGCTCGCCCCAGTACCTCTGCTCGCGAAACCTACAGCGCAACCCAATAAAAAAGGTCAAGCTGGCGTTTAATCATTTTGAGCATGACCGACAAGCATGTTGAGTAAAGATGCGGAGGTCTAGTCTACAGGTCTAAAGCCACCCACCCGAAAGTATCACCATATGCCAGAACGTAGCGTTTGACCGGCTCCCACCAGGGTTGCACATCGACGAGATCGAGTTTCCTGGAAATTTTTTGAGTATTTTCGGGAAAGTTGGCTCGGAATTTTTGGTACTGGATTGCTAGCGGGGGGGGAGGGTGCATTCCCGGTGACCAAAATTTTTTCTATGGCTCCAGATTCCCCTTATAAAAACCTCTAACTAGGAGAAGTCTTAGCATAAAGAAACGAGAAAAAAAAATAAAAATAAGCCTACACCTAAGCCTAAGTCTAAGCCTGTACCTAAGCCTAAGTCTAAGTTTGCGCCTGCGCCTAAGCATAAGCAATTTTTTGTCGGTAAGTTTTATAAAGCTAAAGCTTACTTGACGTCAATGTTGTTTAGGACTCGGTCACTTCCCGGGGGAGTCGACTCGACGATAAAGCTCCAGGCCTTTGGAGACCGGGTGATCAGGTACTGGAAAAGTGGCGTTCTCTCTCTCTCTCTCTCTCTCTCTCTCTCTCTCTCCCTCTCTCTGCCTCTCGCTCTCTCTCTCTCTCTCCCCATCTCTATCGCTATCGCACAGGGTACTGGACTATTGGCGGGGGGGGGGGTTTGGCGCGCGAAGCTGATTCGTAACTTTCCGTCGACACTTGTTAACAAACTTTAGAGCATTTTTATTGCGCTATAAAAAAATTATAAAAAAATTCAAAAATTGTAAATTTGAAAACTTCTACTTTTGGCCATTTTCATAAATTTCCAAAAATACAAGTACGTTAAAATAATGCTACATAATTTCTATGCTTTTTATATATCGAGAAGAATTGTAAAATGCTACGAAAATGGCTTATATTGTGTTATAATACCGTACAAAATTACGGGGAATAAGTAAACATTGCCCCCCCACTAACAGTCCAGTACACCGAGTAGGAAAGACTTTTTAAACCCTAGGCCCAGCTGGATGCGTACCTTGAAATATTGGTCGGCCCCCGCCAAGTTCAGCAAGTCCAACGGGGTGAACAGCTTCATGATAGCCAGCCAGATGACGTCGGGAAGCGACTTGTAGGCGTCGTAGGGGAGCAGCGGCTAAAAATGATAGGATAGACCAGAGTTTATAAAATTTGGCAACTCTGCACATTAATAAGACTTATCGCTGAAGATCTAGGCATGGGACTGACTTTACCTTCACTTCTATTTCCACCGACACCTCATCGAGATCTCGTACGGGCGTATGGCGGATCGGGGATGTAGCGACCTGAATAAGCACGTAAAAGTTATCGATTTTCAAATTTTCAAAATTTTTAAAAATTATCGAAATAAAATTAAAAAAATTAAAAATAGTCCCCCCTCTAACAGCCCAGAACCTCATCTGCCCCCCCCCCGCTAACAGCACGGTACCTCAGCTACCTTCCCCCACGATAAAAGAACAGTACCAAATAAGCTACCCGCCCCCCTCCCCTGCTAACAGCTCAGAACCTCAGCTACATCCCCCACGCTATGGGACTGGTATCAAAATAGCTGCCCCCCCCGCTAACAGTCCAGTACCAGAAAAGCCCCCCCGCTAACAGTCCGGAACCTCAAACCCCCGCTAGCAGTCCAGTTCCAGAAAAGCTGACCCCCCCTCCCGCCAACAGTCCAGCACCTCAACCACCTCCCCCACGCTAAGGCACCAGTACCAAATAAGCTGCCCCCCGCTAACAGTCCTGGACCTCAGCTACCTCCCCCAGTACCGGATAGGGTTTAGCAAACTACCGTACAGATCGTTTGGCCGGAGCGGAGCCCGATGCAGTAGATGACGACGAGTTCTGCAGATCGACCTGAACAACATCGAATATCGATAGAGCTTCACATCGAGGTGTTACCTCAACGACTTGTACGTCACTTGCACTTTGCTCCGTCTCCCCGGAGCCGAGGCAGCCGCAAATGATGAGCAATAGCTGGGCCATCATCCTCAATGACGGCCGCCGGCCTGACTCGCGGCGACTAGGAAAAGGAACAAAAATACGTCGAGGATTCCAGCTGGGAAGTCCGAGTTAACTCGGGTATGCAAATATTCTTGAAGGCGCTGGTTTTTAGGGCATATTCCTAATGATTCTAAAAAATTTCTTAATTATAAAAAAGCAAAGCAAAAAACTTGCCTAAAGATCAAGAATCGTGATAATAATGGCTTTTCCGGTACGATGCCAAATTTTTGCCCATGATAATAGCACAAAAAAGCGTCTCCCTGTAAGCTGTTTGCGCTATGCCTTGAAGTAACAATCTCTCCCTGTCTCTCTCGCTCTCTTCCTCCCTCTCTCTCGCTCCCTCTCTCTCATTCAACTATCTCGCTCCCTCTCTCTCATTCAACTCTCTCGCTCACTCTCTCTCACTCAACTCTCTCGCTCTCTCTCACTTATCTTTCTCTCGTTCTCTCTATCTTTCTCCCTCGCTTTCATGTTCCCTTTCTCTCTCTCTCTTTCTCTCTCTCTCTCTCTCTCTCTCTCTCTCTCTCTCTCGCTCTCAGTCTCCCTTTTCTCTCTCTCGCTCTCTCTCACACTCTATCGCTCTCTCACTCTCTCCCTATCCCCCTCTCTCTCTCTCTCTCGCTCTCAGTCTCCCTTTTCTCTCTCTCGCTCTCTCTCACACTCTATCGCTCTCTCACTCTCTCCCTATCCACCTCTCTCGCTTTCTCTCGCGCGCTCTCTCAACCTCCAGCTATCACCGTCTCTCACTCTCCCCCACCCTCTCTCTATCTATCTCTCTCTCTATCTTTTTCTGAATCTTTCTATAAATTTCTTTTCTGTCATTTTGCTCGTGCGCTGACCGCCTCTAGTTGCCTCGGTCGGCTAACATAAGGGGCGGACTTTTTCGGGACACACTGTACTGCTTGCACTCGCGGCCGACGTGGAATCCGTGATCAGTAGCTGTTGCAAAGCTGTGGCTGGTGATTGCGGTAGTTTGGAGGTCGTGACGTCGTAAAATCAAAATCCCATCAAAAAGCTGCTTAGAAACACGTTCGCTCTTAAAATTGAAAAATTGGATCCTAACAAAAAGGTTGCCCCCTCCCCCCGATAACGTGAAAGAACCGAGATTTCAAATTTGCATATACCATATTGATTAGCGGCTCGGCAACGCGGTTCAGCTTCCCAAATTTGCAACGAGCCACCTTGCATACGTTAATAAATTTGCATATTCGGGTTTCATTCCGGAAGTTGGCGGCTTCGGAAAATTCGAAAAGCATTCGTCCTTCCAACTGTGCGGCTCCGTGGCGAGTGGTTTTTCTACTCGCCGAGTGCCATCGTCGGCGGCGCGCTTTTGGTCTACTCCTTGTTGCCGTCTCTTCGTGCGTTCGGTCGTGTCGTCAGGTGTGTTTGGTTCCGATCATTTACTTCCGGTTCTTTCGCAAATTCGGGGATCCACCTTTTTGCTGATGATCCAAGGTTCCTACCATTTTCTTACCCCTCTCTTTTCGATTACTTACCTTGACTTAACACCCCTACCAGGTTTGGGTTTGGGGGTTTGGCTTTCCTTGGCCCGATTTGGGGCCGTTCCCGCGCATAAAACGCCCTAATTAGTTGTCATCCGGGGTTAATCAACCCCCCCCCTTGCCGATGGCGTATACAGAATATTGCTAAAAGCCAATTTGAGAAAGTTAGTGGTTAGAGTGCAGTTTACCCCCCCTAGCCGGCACCCTTTGTATCTCGGCTCCCTGTTCATCTACAGGTGTGGTCAAGTCTACAAAAATACTCGCCAGCGCAAGACAAACATTTTGGTATCTTTTATACACCTGTAGATGAACAGGGAGCCGAGATACGGTATGTGGGTGCCGGCTAGGGGGGGGGAGGGGGGGTAAACTGCACCTAAGCCAATTTCGAGCCCATTTTACCCAAGTTTGGGGGCTCAGGAGGGCGAAATTCCGTAATTGGCAACAATAGGAATTTCCTCGTTCTTGCCGGTTGCACGTGCGTCTGCGAATTCTGTGATTCAAATTACTGAGAATTTCCTCAAGTTTTAGGCCCTTTTAACGGGATACCCGGCCTCTTGGCTGTAAGTCCACAGCCGCCGTATTTCCTCTAATCGAACCCTCTCCAAAAAGACTTTTTTAGTAGTTTTTAGTAGTTGTAGTTTAGCATCTAAAAAGTAAAAATGCGATAAACGGGTTCTTTCATGTTATCGGGGGGTTGGGGGGGGGGAGTTTACTATTCCAAAACGTCAAAACTTCACAAACTACAAAAAAAAAAAAAAAAAAAAAAAAAAAAAAAAAAAAAAAAAAGTAAAAAATATTTTAAAAAAAAAAAAAAAAAAAAAAAAAAAAAAAAAAAAAAAAAAAAAAAAAATATGTATTAAAAAAACAAAAATATAGATTTTCCACATAGAATGGCCGTTTTTAGCTAAATTTCGGCTTTTGGAAAAATTTTAAAAGGTTTTAGTTGGACGAATTGAAATATTTACTAAAAACATTATTAAAATCGTTTGGAGCCCAGACTTGAGTGGACTAACTGAGTTTATCTTGCGTTTGAATAGCCCTAGGAGCCCAAGTAGGCATTAGATAGGGCTTAGCTGACGACCAAGCTTAACTTGGCTTCAGCTAGGTTTAGGCTTCGTTTTAATGAAGCTAAGCCGACTTAGACACTGTCACTTGATTTTGCGAAAGCTTTCTTTTTTATTCGCTAGATTTTTTTGTGATCAAATATATGAAAACTTGTTTCAGAGCACATCTCGAACTGATCGGCGCCACCGTCTTCATCGCTACGACCGTCGCCCCTCAGCCCGTGCCTCTACGACGACCTTGGCTTCGCTAGGCGGCGCAAGGTAATTTTTGAATCCTTTCCAAAAATTTTGATGCTTCCCAAAAAACGTTTTGATTTTTCGCTAGATTTTTGTGATCAAATATATCAAAACTTGTTTCAGAGTAGATCTTCGTCAGCACCACCTTCGGCCAAATCTACAACTCGGGGCCAACTACCGTGAAAAGCGCCGCCTTCTTCCCAAGTGGTAATTTCTGAACCCTTCCCAGAAATTCTGACTCTTTCCAAAAACCGTTTGGGTTTATATTATTATTTCATTTTCCGTTTCTCTCTCTACCTACCACTCTCTCTCTCCTCTCTTCCACTCTCTCTCTCTCTCCCTCTCTCTCTCACTTCACTAATTGTTTTGATTTTCCGCCTTTCCTTCGGCCTAATTTGAGGGCTTGAAATAGAGTTCCCCCATTTCAAACAGGCTGGATTTCAGAAAAAAACTCTTTAATCTTTTACATCACTAGGCACTATCTGGGCTGAAAAGACCCCTCCCGGTTTTGCGCTAGCTTTCGTTTTTTGTCTTCTAGAATTTTTGGAGCAGGCCAAATACATCAAATCTTGTTGCAGGCGACGAACCACAACAAGTTTGCATCGTTCGGGCACTCTTCGTCTTATTCGCTATCTCATCGTCGTGCGCCTGTTCGTCATTTTTTGTTCGCTCGTCACGTTCCGGTAAATTCTTCCCAGTTCTTTGGCAAAATAGGGACGGGGTACTTTTTTCGCAATGACTCAACGTAACAATCTCTGTCTATGAAAAACACACGAAAATGTCTCGTTTCGAATGAATTTGATACTGGACGGTTAGCGGGCGGGCGGGGGGGGGGGTAATTTTTTGTTTCTCAGCCGATCCTTGTAAGACATACTGTTTTTTTTGTAGTGTTTTTTATTAGTTTTTGATTGCAAGAAAATTCCAAAAATTCTTTAACCGTGTTTTTTGATAGTTTTTGATGACTTTTTGACCAAAAAAAACAATTTTTCGAAATTTTTTATAATTTTTTTTATGAGCTTTATATATCGAAAACTCTACAAAATACTGCGAAATTGGTTTACAAATGGTTATGCGACCGGACAGGGTCACTTGGAAAACGTGGACTTCCGCTAGCCCCCCCGCCCCCCGGTAACAGTCCAGTAACATGGATTTTTCGATTTTTCGAATTTCCTCCCGTAATGTCAATTTTTTGACGCTTTTTTGAATATTTGGAATAGTTTTGCCCGCTTCAAATCTGAAAGTGAAAAAACTGTGTATATCAAAGTGTCCAATTTTTTCGGGGCTAAAGCTTTGTGGCCACTGTATCGCATCTCGTTGCAGGTCTTGGCTAATTGTTGAGACAAGTGAACCGCACGGCACATCGTATCTTCTCTGCCACTATGGTGCGCAATTTTACCTTCGTTTCTTCACCCGGCGCAAGCCATCTACCTTATGCGTTCAGCAGCTAAATGCGGTGTTTTTCAGACCGACACGCAGACACACGATGACATGTCGGAGCTCGTCGAGCTGTACATACAAATTCAACAACAGATGGGAGAATATGTTAGTGAGGTAGACTTTCTCAAAGCCTTGCTTTGTGCCCTGGCAGGCCTAACAAGGAGATGATCTGGGCTCGACATCGAATTTCGATTTGAAAATTTGCGCACTTATCGAACTTGTCGAGACCACCCTCTATCAACAGCTACAAGTTACACCAATCGATTCCTGGTCGAGTTCGATATGTGTGTGCAAATTTCCAAAGCAAAATTTGTTGTCGAGCCCAGACCATCTCCTTGTAGGCTATGGTTTACCCGCCCCCCCGTATTTCGATTGGATTTTTTCGACGTTTCGGCGCAGGCGCCATACGGAATTATTGGGGGCAAGAATTGCATTTGCCCCGCCTCCTGAAAGCAAAAAAAAACGGTCCATTCTCCGGTCGGCTACAGGAGATGCTCTGCACCAATGACACCACACACTCAAATGATTTCAGCGGTGGCGCAGCTACCATCTCAATCAAAGGGCGTCCCAGGCGGCGAGGGAGCAGGAGTGGGAGGTACGAATTCAGCGTTTGGCTATCTATTTATATATATTTCTAGTATCTGCGAAATCATCAGCTTCTGCGCGAACATGATGGTGGTGGACGTCGCTGTAGGTGTTAAATCGTAAACTTACTCTATTCGGGGTTTTTTTTTAGCAGGATTTATCTGTTTTTAGTAAATTTTTGCTGTATTTGATGTACAGGGTTTCAAAACGCCCCCCCCGGCCGCTTTTGACGCTTTAGGTATCTATTAAAGCTCTCGAAAGGGAAAGTCCAGTCTGGAAAATTCACACGGATTTTCGAAATTTCGAAATTTTCCTGCAAAAAGGCACGCCTTTTTTGTCAAAAACTCAATCTAACCGACTTAAGCGCTATCCAATTTGTGCCTGAGCAAAAGGTCTTCAAAAACATTGTCCTTCGGCTGCCATAACAGGCGTAAAAACCCTTAAATGGTGATTTTTGTAGAAAAATCCCTTGCCCCGAAAAACATCAAAAGCCAAATTTTTTCTAAATTGCTCAAAATTTTAACAGTTTAAAACAGAAACGTTATCGCTAGATATGTTTTTAAGGCTAAATTTTTGGAAACGCTGGTCCTTGATTTTGCATGTGTTTTCGTAATTAGCATGCCGATTTTGAGTAATTTGCCAAAAAAATGGTCATTTTCGGTCGGTTTCGGCCGATTCTGATGTTAAAAAGTGCAGAAAGGATTTTCGAAATTTTGCAGAAACCGTGAGGAAAATTAACTTAATATTTGGTAAATTTTCGTAATTCAAAAGATTTGGTCGGGTCGAAAAAGGGCGTGAGTAATCCAAAAAATCCCAGTGAAACTGGCCGAATCAACCTGAATTTTGCGACAACTTTTCCTCATAGCCTATTTTGCTTAGAAAAGCTGCACATAGTTTTATGGGTTCCCATCACTGGTAAAAATTTGGTACCGTGCGGAGGGCCAGATGCCTGGGCGGGGGGGGGGGAAGGCGGTTTGGGACACCCGGTATTTGTATGGCATTTACTTGCTAAATACTGGCAGATAAGGGACTATTTTGGAGCTAATCAATGATAATTTTAACAACTTCTTGCAGCCGACGCAAACGAATGCCCGCAAATGAGACGGCTACGCGACATCCCGGCTCGGCCTCCCGCTTTGCCCATGGTGAGCGCTTTTCGTTTCTTTAATTTAATAACGTTAAAAAATTGCTTGATATTTTCCAGAAAAACTTACAAAATTTATCGGAAGTATTTTAAAAATGTTCGTAGTAAAATAAAACTGTATTTTTACTGGGAAAACTATCTAAAAAGTTCAAAAATTTGGTCAAAAAATTTTTTGTTTATATTTTTAATAAAATATATTGTAAAATTTTTCGCTTAGGGATAGTAAAAAAATTGACGAAGTTGCGTTTAGGAGATGCGTGTGAATGAGCGTGAGGGTGCAGCGACCGGCCGTACCGAGCCACTCCAAAACTTGGCCCAGGTAAGTACAATCAGCTGCTGCGCGGGATTTGTCTGGGCATTTTCGATCAGGCGGTTGTTTGGCTCACATTTTTGCGGTATCGGGCTGTTAGCGAGGGGAAACCAGTTTTTCCCGGGGAATCCCGTACGACCTTATAACACAGGATACACCATACACCATTTTTCCAGCATTGAGACGGGTTTTCGACCATCAAATGTTACGAAATTTTCGAGGATTCTTGGTTTTTGTTATAAAAAATGACAAAAAAAGGTCAACAAATTTTTGAAATTGTTTTTCTAACTATCTAGCAATCGAGTGGTCTCTTGCCCTGCTGAAAATTTCACCCCCCGTTAACCGTCCAGCACCATTTTCCATTCCATTGTTTGCAGGTCTGCCAGCAAACGGCCACAACGTCACAAGTGTTGAAAGCGGCCGCGGTCGAATTCAACAAAGTGCTGGTGCGCCTCGACCGCTTGGTAGGAGCTTGTATTGCTGCAATTTCCGGCTCTTTCCAGGCTATTGATGACAGGAGTACGCTGAACGACGCCGAAACCCGGAGGGACCAGGCCAAGAAAAAAGTAAGGAGCAGTTGCACACTATTCGGTTCTTTCGCAGTATCGGGGAAACCAACTTTTTTCTAGCAGTTTCATTAGGCTAATGTTAATTGAGGAGGGGTATCACCACTGTTTTTCACTATTCCTGAACGTAAAAACTCCACAGATAATACAATAGAAAAACGTCGATGTTCCGACCCAAAAATGGCTTCGGCATTCGACGAAAATTTCACCAAAAATATTTCTTTACAAGTTTTTTGAGTGTTTGTTTTTTGTTTTTATAAAAAAATCGATGTCAAAATTTATACAAGTAAAATAGTGTTTGGCAGGTGACACGATTCAAATAGGCTTAAATTTTTCTTTCGAATCCCCCCCTCCGGGAATACACAAGAAACTAGCGATAATATCAAAAACTAGCCTTTTAACCCCATTTTTAGAGGTTGTTTTTGTTTTTGCTATATTATTTTAAATTACGATATTTTGAACTGCCATTCAAAACGCAAAAAATAGCCCAAAATAGGCTAGGTGCCATTCCTCGGCCCAGACTAGGCTAATTGTAAGAAGACTTTGCAGTAAGATATCTCTGTTTTTGCAGTACGACAACTATCTCATGGAGATGAAGGCAAAACGTCCGAAGGATTGGATCGCCGCGGCACCAAAAGCGACGGTTCCGGCGCCTCCTGGACAGCCCGCCAATGGTCAACCAGCTGCTCTTCCCCCGGCTCCGCAACCATTCGCCGATCCGGCCCCAGCGCCGAACACCCCGCCCACGATGCCGCGGGATGCGCCGGACGAAGTTCAAGTCGAGCCCGACCCGGTCGGTGATCCATTTAACATTCGAGTGCACGCTTCCAGCGAAAGGGTCGAGGCGTTTAGTTGGGTACTTATAGGGCAACGGGGGGGCGGCAATAACGGGGGCGGGGCTCTCAGCATTATCCTACTAGATATCACAAAAATACTGTCTGTGTTTGTGTGTGCCACTTTGCATATGCGTAATGTGCGTAAGGTGCGTAATGATCTAGGTATGACTGCTCACATAGTGGATTGTTTAAAATTAGCTAATTTCTGTCCGAAAAACCAGCGCCAAGGTTGAAAAGTCGCGAAGCGGGACATATGGGCATCCTATATGGGCAGCACATATAGTATAACAGGGGGGATATTTTCGGCGTTTTGGATATTTTCGCGATTTTAAAAATGCCATTCTATAGAGGGTCTAAAAATATACTAAGAGCTTTTTTGTAGCCCAAAAAACCTATTTGAAAATATTTTTAATATAATAACTTATTTAATAATATGTCAACCGGCATTTTCATTGTATTTTACTTTTGTTACAGCCGGCGGACGGCGCGGGCATCTTTATATATCCTGAATTCGAACTGCGGCGCGTGGGGACGGCGAGCCCCCAAGGGGTAAGGCGGGTGTAAACGTAGATAGCTTATTTCTGAGCGGACTTTTTGGACTTTTCGTAGTCGGTTTACATAGCCGATTCGTGGCGCGAACGACGCAGAGAAAAGGGAAAAGCGAAAAGCGCAGGAAAACCTCGAGTTTTTCTTGATAGGGAAGAAATGTCGCTAGGAAACGACGGTTCCGGAAACGCCTGCACACCATAAAAAGAAAAATTGTGGTTTCCGCTCTTAAAAGTAGGTCTCTGTAAAATTCTCGTCCACCCTCTTCAAATAGCATGTGCCCGAAGTGAGGGTAGCTTATAGAACGGAAGGGAGGGACGGCCCGGTTTTCATTTCTTGGAGATCGGTTTTCGGCGAGAATTGTGCAAAGTCAATAATTTTATAAGTCCTAGACGGGACCAGGGTTCCAAAGCCGCCAAGCGGCTTTTCAACCCTGGTTTTAAGGCTAATCGATTAGGTGCCGTTCGCGGCATTGTATGATGGTCATTTTGCAGACGACGGCCCGCTACCCGACGAGCCCCACAATTACCTCCTTCACGGCCCGCTCGCTCAGCCCGGTGACGGATGATCGCCCGAACCCGCAACACGCTCGACAAGTAAATTTTAATTGCTTTTTATGATCCATAGCCTTGAAATTGGGGTGATTTTTGCCGACCAGGGGAGCGTAAAAGAGCCAATTTTCGGCACCTGTCGCTCAGAACTAGTCATGCATTAACGAAATATACCCAAAATTGACTTGCCATAATTCCGTTCCAATGAAAAACACCCCCTCTATCTCGAATCAAAAGTATCGGCAGCGAAACTTACGCTTTTGTCAAAATCACCCATTTTTAGGAGCCAAAAAGCATTTTTTTTATGTAAAAAAACGAATCATAAATTTTGTGGCTGTCTGCGCTTACAGCGCATGCTCGGGGAGTTGGACGTATACGCCTATTACAAGCGTAGAGACTGCGGCAAAGAGACACGGCCGCAGCGGTCCATAGGCGCCTTCGTCCAACTCCGTGAGCGCGCGCTTTGAGCGTGGGGGAACAAGCTTAAAAACACTTTGCAGATGCCCCCCCGCACTCCGTCGCCACCGCCCTCACCCACCCAGAATTCCCGATCCCCCATCTACCAGCAGCGACTGGCCCGGCAGCCCCCGCAGCATCATCCTCGTCTCCGTCACGAAGCTTCGCCGGTAAATTTCAATTGCTTTTATGATCCAGACAGAGCCTTGACATTTGGGGTTTGTTTTCCCGACAAGGGGAGTGATAAAGTGCCACCCGTCGAGAACCAGTCACCCGGCTCAGGAAACATACCTAAAATTGACTGCATAAACTGTACAAAAAAACACCCCTTCCAGCTCGAATCAGAAGCATCGCGTAGCGTTCGCGTTTCCGAAAATTGCCCATTTTTAGCAGCGAATTAGTTATTTTTAATAATTTTAGCAGGGGAAGACACTTCTTGCACCTGTACCTGTTCCTAATATATAATGTGCTAGAAAGTTATAGTTTAAAAAATTTTCACAAAAAAACTCAAAAATGTTGAATTTTTTGGCTGGTTGTGAAGATTTTTTATCCATTTTTTGCCGAAAAGTCAAAACTTTTTTGAAAATTTTATAAATTTTCCTAAATCATCCTACTATATATAAAAAAAGTTGTTGTTGTGTGTGTGTGTGTTTTTTTTTTTTTTATTTTTGGCCAAACAAGCACGGAATAAACAAGGGGGGGGGGGTTTGGGGGTTGGGGGGGGGGTGTTTGGGGGTTTTTTGGGGGGGGGGGGGGGGGGTGTTTTTTTTTTTTTTTTTTTTGTTTGTTTATTTTTATTTTTTTTTTTTTTTTTTTTTTTTTTATATTATTTATATTTATTTTGGATCTGGGGGGGGTTGTTTTTTTTTTTTTTTTTTTTTTTTTGTGTTTTTTGTTTGGGCTGATTTTTTTAAATGAATAGTTAAAAAGGAATTGCCAACGGTGGACGCCACCCGAGGGGGTGGGGGAAAGCCGGGGCCGGGGGTTCCAACCCCCGTTCTTATCTAAAAACCATCAAAATCTCTAAAAAATGGCTCATTTTTCATTGTAGAGCCCGTGCGAACTAACTGGGAAAACCTTGGTTTCGCCCCTACCGACCCCCCCGCTAACAGTCCAGAACCGCAATTAGTGTATGGATAACGGAAAAATCGGCGCTTTTCCAGCAGGCTCGTGCTCGCTCCAACACGCCCCCGCCCATCCACAACCATCCGCCTCGTCAGCACGTGGAGATTGTAAGTGCCACAAATTGGGGTACCGTATCACCTCGGACGGTGTTACGGAAAGCACACCTCATCTATCGAAAGCTGCAAGCGGAGGAAATATGTTCTCGCCAATTTTCCAATTCCCGAATTTTTAGCTCGATTTTTATCAAATTTTTTTTGTTAAAGTTTACATTTTTCTTTAAAACTCAATTTAATCGGCTTCAGCTCGGTTCAAGCTGTGTTTTCTCAAATGGCTTTCAAAAAGCTGGGTTCTTGTGTATTCCCCGGGGGAAACCGAACTTGTTCGGCCCAAGCCTAGATTTTTTATATAAATAGCGGAAGTGTTTCTAAATTGTTTATAGCTATTCCTAAAAATGAAAACTTTACGAAATTTAATTAAAAAATTTCATTTTAGGTCGAAAAATCGATTTTTTCGGCCCAAAAATGACCAAATTTTCGACTTTTTCAAGAGTTTTTCAAACTTTTTAAAAAGGTTTTCCTATTCCAATAGGCTTAAATTTTGCTAAAAACAATGTGAAAACACTTTATTTTTGATTACTATCCCAACAGGGCCGACAAAAAAACGTTCGGCCCCCCCCCGGATACACAAGAACCAAAAGCTGCCGTCGGGCTGCCACGAAAGGTGTGGAATTTGCAAAAGGAGGGTTTTGTTAACAACTATTTGCTTGGGAAAAGCAACGAAAATTCGGTCCTGCCCCCCAATGACCTTAGTAAATGCAAAAAATGCTGGGAATTTCGAAAATCGGCGAAAACTTATCTCCTCAGCTCGTCGAGAGCTTTCGATGGATGTAGAAATCATAAAAACCGGAAATGACTCGTAACATTATAATTATTTTCCTTTTTCAGTCTCCTGAGCTTCGCACGGCCATCCAAAACTCTGCTCCTCGGCTTCCTCAACAAGTGCCTGGCGACGGCCAAGAACGACCCGAAAACGGACAGCCGGTAAATGTCTTTCTTTAGTGCATAGACTCTAGGTGTAGACGGAAAATGTTTTTCTATAAACATTTTTGCAGGCCCCGCAACAACAAGGAGGCCTCATCGCACGGCTGCGCCGCAGCGTCGAGGCGATTGTGCGCCCGGTGGCTGAACCCGCGGCCCAGATCGCCCGGATGGTAAATACCAATTTATTTTGATACTCGAGCCTTTCAATTCGCGTCGATTCAACAACCTTACGTAGTAGTGTAGCCGCAATTTTTGCCACATTTATCACATTATATTCCAGCGCCATGGAGACAACCTGGCAGGGCTCGTGCAGGATGACGCCGGACAAGACCTGCCCCGGCTCCGTCCTCGGCCCGTCCGCCCTCCAAATCCGGCCCCTGTAGGCATTTCAAGACCGGAGTACCTCTAACGTAAATTTAAAGCACGGGAAACATTAAAGCCTCACTGCTCCTTGTTATACCAAAACCCAACAAATTTTCAAATTTTCTTGAAAACAGTTTTTCGGTTATCTGTTGGCGGTTTCCATAGGCTTCTACGTACTGGACTGTTAGCGGGCGGAAGTTTTTGCAAGGGATTTTTATTTTCGACCTGTTGATCAAAGATATCGATTTCGACAGATGTTTGAATAATTTCCGGTTGCTAAAAAGTTATCGTACTTTATATAATTTTGGCGTGTATCTTTGTCTGGCTGTGTGTGTGTGTGTTTATAAAATACAAGTTTACAACGTGAACTTGTATTTTATAAACACACACAGACAGACAAAGATACACGACAAAATTGTATTAAATTTTGAGATTTTCGACGAGGGTAATTTGCATAATACCAAAAAATGGAAATTTCCTCATTGTTGCCAGTTGCACGCGCATGTGTGGTCGGAAAAGTCGGAAAACATTGCGTGGTGAAAAGAAGTCATTCTTGCCATCAGCGCTTGTTTATTGACTGCATTGCAGAAACAGAAGCAGAAGCCGAAACGCTAGATGTCCGACATGCCGCCACCTCCGATCCGCTCAACTTAAACAAAAAACATTCCGTGCCCTACGTTAATACGTTAATGTGTGTGATTCCCCTCGGTTACATCATCATCGATCTTTACGTGATCCTCTTGTCGTACAATTCGATAATCGCCTCATCTTGCGAATTACTAGACTGTGCATTCCGTTCTGTGATAAAGCCCATTCTGTGGCGATGCAGTCATCTCCTTGTTTCAAGGCAACTCAGCTTTTCCCACACCGGCTCCGCAAAAAAAGTGCCTGCCGTGCGAACTATCATAGATCTACAGAGCTAAATGGATACCCTACTACCCAAACATTTTCACCTGACGAACAAATCCACGAGCACCGACCCTGGCTACCGGATTTCAGAGCAAAATACAATTATTTCTCTACCGGCGCCCCAAACCCGCTTCTCAGGCCTTGCGCGCTGGAATGCGGCCTTTGAATGAAGAATATTACTTTCCGATAGCCGGGGGTTCTTCGGGCTAATCCCCGCTCCCGACCACAATCGCGAGTGCAACTGGCAAGAATGAAGAAATTTACATTTTTCCACATTATGCAAATTAACCCTACCCGACTCCAAAAAGCGATAAAACCGGCTTCAACTTTGTAAGCTTGTATTTTAGCCGGATTCTGAAAACTCCATCGGAAACAAAAGGGTCGATTCCCCCTGCTGACCGAGAATTAGGGTATTTTATGCACGAGAAGGGCCTCAAGTTGGGCTTCGAAAGTGACATCCACCCGCACACACACAAAGAAACACCCCAACCTCCAGCATTTACCTCATCTATAGTACTACGTCTTCATCTCTCGATCGTTCGTCATGCCCCCCGCCGTAGACCCCCGATTTCCTCGAGCCCATAGGGTTTTGTTTGGATCTCGTCTCCGTCTCTAGCCCCAGCACGTCTCTTCTTGGGTTTTTTTTGTATATTTCCCCCTAATATGTCATCCATCGGTTTCTCTTCCTCTCGTCCATTTTCTGTGCTCGGTTTGTTTGAATATTCGGTTCGATAAATATTTTCGGGAGGTTCTCAATGGCCAAAAAATGCAGCCAAGAACAAACAGAACAAGACAAAAGAAGGTCAGAAAGATGCGAACGGCTTTCAATCCAAAACCATAGCCACGCGACTCATTTTCAGGAACGCAGCGCAGCGCTAAATTACATACAATTTTAGCATTTCTTGAATATTAAATACTATTTTGAACCTTTTTCGGAGGATTTTTTAACAGGGGGAACGGGTATATTAGAGAAAATTCGGTCTGTGACACCTTTTTGGCTTACTAGGAGAGCCCGAGGATCTTTAAAACTCGAGATATGCCACTTTTAAAGCGATCCTCTGGTTAAAAGCGTCAAACTTCGAGCTTGATTATGTTTATCTTCCCGGTCGATTTTGCAAAAACAAATATATCGCTATGGTATTCAAAAATTTTTCTCTTTTCAATGAGCCGCTAACTCGAAATTCTCGAAAATCCGAAAAATTCAAAAAATTGACGATACTCGGGGGGAGAGAAAATTTGCAGGTTTTTTTCGAACACCATGCAGTGTAGTGCCAAAAACTCTAGAACTAAGAATCCTCGAGTCAACTGACAGTTTTCAGCGACTGGGGCAGGACGTGCAGGTCCCACAACCAAATCCTCCACAAAGGGGACGACCCGCCGAATACGTTGAGGTAACCGTCATTTCTTTCTGCCAAACAACCGAATGCTTTTGACCTAGTTGAAAATGGGGTGCTGTTCCATTAGACCAGGGGGGGGGCGAATTCGCTGGTAAAGTCTAGGAGTTTTTTCGGCCAAACGTCTTATTACTGCGCTGAGTATTTAAACAAATGTTCGCCATGGTCGAATTATTATAAAGGTACGAGTCTAGGAAACCCCACCCCCAGCCGTAACTTTTCAGCCATACGTCTTATTAGTGCGTGGAGTATCTCAAAATGTTTGCCGTGGGCGAATTACTATAGTAAAGACGTTTACATACATCAAAAATTGTTAGAAAAATTTTACAAGATTTTGAAATGTCAAATATAAAGCGCCTCACCTCAATGTACTAAGCGTTTAAAATCCATTATTTTCTTTTTCTCTATTTTTTTTCGATTCAAATGTACTGTAGCCTTACTCTACAGAGCAAGAGCTAAATTTTGATACTATTGACAGCTCTGTAGGACAAAAGATAGCCGATATACGAAGGCTCACTTTAGACCAGGAAAAATTGATTAAAGAAAACCCAGACTTATAATTGTTATAAAAATTTTTCTAACAATTTGTGGTGTATGGAAACAACTTTTCTATAGTAACTCGACCACGGCGAACATTTTGAGATACTCGGCGCATTAATAGGACGCATGGCTGCAGGTTGTGGCTGGGGTGGGGGGGTTTCCTAGACTTGAGCCACTATACAGGGTGTCCCAAAATTATCCGGACAAAGTTTCAAAGCAGTTTCTTCCTATTTTTCCCCTGTTTTTGCAGACCATCATATACTTTCTATGAATCTTTGAAGTGTATTTAAATAGCTGAAAAAGAAAACTGCGCGTGAATCCATTATATCTCTTCGGCACAAATCGAGGAAGGTTGAACGAAATTCCTTGCCCCTTGCAAACGCTAAAAAAGCGCGTTGTTTCCGATCCCATAAAAACTTTCAGCATGATCGGACCAACTAAGAAGCCACAGGAAGAGTTCGGAAATGATCACTCAAAACTCTAGTCGGCCCAAAAACCCTAGGTTTACACCAGAAAAAAAACAGTGGGCAAAAAAGTTGAAATCAAGGTACGCGCCGCCCCAGTTACTTTAAAGGATTTGCCCTGGAGGAACCCTAAAAACGCGATATTAATCTTGTCAAAAACCAGAGGATAAACTTTTGACGGTACCGATGAAGTACAAGCTATTTAAATTAAGCCAACTTTGGTTTTTGAGGAGCTTGAGCACGAGCAAGCATCGAAACACCATGACCGGTAAAGGGACTGAAATCGGTATTAAACCGAAAAATGACCATTAGCATGATGGAATCTTGGCGGAGTTAGGTCCGTTTTGCCAGAAAACGTCATTTCTGGCCCACAAAAATGTCTGAACACATTTTGAAGGCTTACCCCAGTTTTTATGTTAGTTAAGAGGCGAAAAATTTTAACACGGTCTTCGCTCGATTGTGAGGCTATTAATGCGTTCTCCAAGAATTTTTTTTTGGCACGGTGCATCGAAAATGCCCCAAAAAATATTATGAAATACAATGCGGGGGCCGAAAACAGCGGAAAAATTGAAAAAGTCAGTTTTCAGTTTTGTCCGGATAATTTTGGGACACCCTGTAAACAACGTTTTTGGATTGTGGAAAATAAGACTAAAAATTTTTTATGACAATTATAAGTCTGGGTTTTTCTTTAACTAATTTTTCCTAGTCCAAAGTGAGTTTTCATATCTCGGCGCTCCTTAGGCCAACAGAGCTGTCAATGGTACCAAAATGGAGCCTTTGATCTGTAGAATCAGACCACAGTACTTTTGAAACGGAAAAATAGCGACAACAGAAAATATTAGAGCTTGAAACCCCTGGTACACTGAAGCATGGCGACTTAATTCTTTCACATTTTAAAATATTGTAAAATCTTTTTATAGAAATTTTTAGCATCAGGAAAAACTGGTTTGGGGTAACTCGGCTAGGGCGAACATATTGATATGTTCCACGCATTAAGAAGAGATATGAATGAGCGATTGATCCGAAAACGACACTCATGGACGATCTTTCGTTTCACTAATGACAGTTTTTACAGAATTCACAATGCTGCAATTGTGAGAAGACACAAAAATTGACTCGAGCCTACGGACCCGTGGCCTGCCCTGACTGTCGTGCCTCCTATAGGTGGGCTTTGGTCTAAAAGTGTATTTGCAAAGCTAGAATTCTTGGCTATAACATCACTTTTCCAGACATGCCATCGAAAAATTGTTGAACGGCGAGACGAAGCCCTGCTCGGAGGATCCTTGTTCTAAGGGTAGGTTGCCAGTCAAATCTGCCGCTATCGGGGGTGCTGCCAGGTTATCGGGGGGCGGTGATTTTAGCGGGGGAGGTCGTGCGGGTCCATTAATTAAAAGTTTACCGTTTTTATAGACTTGTGGTTACACATCGGATCATGGGGGACCATCAAAGTTTTTTTAATGATAAACGATTTTTAAATATGGTTTTTCGGCCCACAAAAAAACACATAAAAAGCCAATTAACGGCTACTTACGGTCATTTTGTAACGAGAATTTAAGGCAAATTGGCCCGTATGCAGCCCCGAAAAGCGTCAACGTTTTACAAAAAAGCTGGTGAAATAGCTAACTTAATAAAAACATGGTTTTGAAGATTGTTGCAAGCTGGCCGTTTCAAGGGCTTTCGAACGGTGTAACTACCATTCTGATCCGATATACACTGCTGGACATAATTATGGCCTCAGTGAAAATTTTTGAAAAATCTCGAATTTTAGCAATTTTCATGTAACGCTTTCTATGAGAGAAAGTAGCTGTATCCCATCACCAATTCACACAACAAGTCCGTTTTGGCATCCTTTCAACAAAAAAAAATTCCGAAAGATTTTTGCCCAAATGGTACTTTGGAAAAGGGACATAATTATGGCCTCACCTGGGTAAATTTTTTTATAAACCTTACGATATCGCACAAATCAATCAAAAAAAAACATTTCCAATAATCTTTGGGTACTCTCTTTCATGTAATCCAGTGTGAGGGATGGCTTTCCAAGCCCAGACCAAGGCAGTCGAGCCAGATTTCGGTCCACTGGTTATGTGGCCGCAAAAAATTCCTGTTGCTTCCCGGTACTCTTTGCTCCTGTTTACATTTTGCTTAACAAGACGCCTCAAACATGGTCAATGGCCATACGATCCGCGAAATCATTTGGGCACTCCGGAAATCCGGTTTGAAGGGATCGGCGCGAATTCCGTATCCGCCTCGCTCGATGAATTGCAGCTTCCTTTTGCTAAAAAACGCCGGTTCGATTCTGAATCCGTTTGGAAACGGGCTGGATTCCACGACGCTACAATTGTCGGCCGTCGGCTTGGTTCATTTAAGCCAGGGTGAGGCTCCGTTTCGCTGCTTCTCATCACTCAATGGCCCAAACGACAACAACAGCACGATCTTGAAAGTTTCTTGCAGACAATCGATGTTTTTGGGAGACGCTTATGGCAAAAGGAGTGAGAATGATCGCAAAAAGGCCTCTCTTTATCAGAAACAGAAATTGGAGGGATTTTGAGGACCCTGGGCAAACCCCCATCTTCCCCCAAGCTACCCTCCGGCTTCGGCGATCAAATTTGACGCGATTTTCGACATGGCCTGGGTTAAGCATCGGCGTCAGTTGTTGCCGGTGGAATCCAGCCCGTTTCCAAACGGAGTCAAAATCGAACCGGCGTTTTTTAGCAAAAGGAAGCTGCAATTCATCGAGCGAGGCGGATACGGAATTCGCGCCGATCCCTTCAAACCGGATTTCCGGAGTGCCCAAATGATTTCGCGGATCGTATGGCCATTGACCATGTTTGAGGCGACTTGTTAAGCAAAATGTAAACAGGAGCAAAGAGTACCGGGAAGCAACAGGAATTTTTTGCGGCCACATAACCAGTGGACCGAAATCTGGCTCGACTGCCTTCGTCTGGGCTTGGAAAGCCATCCCTCACACTGGATTACATGAAAGAGAGTACCCAAAGATTATTGGAAATGTTTTTTTGATTGATTTGTGCGATATCGTAACGTTTATAAAAAATTTACCCAGGTGAGGCCATAATTATGTCCCTTTTCCAAAGTGCCATTTGGGCAAAAATCTTTCGGAATTTTTTTTTGTTGAAAGGATGCCAAAACGGACTTGTTGTGTGAATTGGTGATGGGATACAGCTACTTTCTCTCATAGAAAGCGTTACATGAAAATTGCTAAAATTCGAGATTTTTCAAAAATTTTCACTGAGGCCATAATTATGTCCAGCAGTGTATATTCCGATCCGATTCGGCGAGTTAGAGGGGGCTTCCTTTTTATTGCGACACCCTGCAGATGAGACGACGAGACACGGGCCGCCTGATCTCTTTAACCTGAAAGCACCCTATCGCCGGCCACTGACTCTGAACGTCGCTCTTTTTTCAGTGCGTTGCCGTCCGCATCTTATCGCAAACCTCGAAGCCAAGGGATTCCGACGAGACCTCCTGCCCGCCTTCCGACCCGAATAGCAGCGTCCGCTCGCTCCAATTGCTGCCTTCTCGCCTCCAACATCACTCGCCTGTCGTTTTCGAGGTAGGGACGGGGAAGAAATCCCTACACTCCAAGCCAGAAAAGTTAGCGGCGAAAAGGGTGCTTTGGGATTGCCGGGCATCAATTTTTTTCCTGGCGTGCCAGCTTGGCCTAGTGTATAAAGTCTTCGTAACTCGTATCTAGTCGGTCTTTTAGCGATACGCAAAGTAGAAAGCCCAACGCTAAAAAATTGTTTCAAAAGTCGAAAATTGTTCGTTTTTCTATGAAAATTTCAAATAAAATCTACTAAAAATTTAATCTTTTTTGTGTCTAATTTTCAAGGTTTTTATGCCCAAGAAAATCTCAAGTGAATCTAGACTCGCAATAATTTGTCTAAAAAAAATTACGGTTGCGTCGAAAAAAGTTGATCCACCGGGCAATCCTACAGCACCGCAAACGGAATAATCAGCTCATAGAATCCAAAATTTGGTCGTCATTTGATGATTTTTGATTTTCTGCCTTTCAGGGTCGCCGCTAATGATCCAGGATGCAATGCTGTGCCACGATTGAGCCACGGATCTGCAAAAAACCCGAGCTTAACATCCACTTCGTCGCAACATCTCACGGCCATTTAACCTCCAGCCTTACCTCATCTATAGTACTACGTCCTCATCTCTCGATCGTTCATTATTTCCTCCGCCGTACACCCCCCGATTTCCTCGAGCCCATAGGGTTTTGTTTGGGTCTGTCTCCGTCTCTAGCTCCAGCACGTCTCTTCTTGGGTTTTTTTGTATATTTCCCCCCTAATATGTCGTCCATCGGAATCCATTCCTCTCGTCTATTTTCTGTGCTCGGTGTGTTTGTATACTCGGTTCGATAAATATTTTTCGGGAGGTTCCCAATGGCCAAAAAATGCAGCCAAGAACAATTTCAGAACAATCAGGTAGAAAGTCAGAAAGATGCGGCGACCTTAAAGGTACACTAAAGTCTCGTTAGTTTGGTTTACCGGCCGGTAACCGTCCGCGGGATGGCAAACAGGGTTACGGCAGGAGCTCGCCGCGGAGCAAAAGCGAACCCGCGCCACTCGCTTGGGGCAAGCGCCATTTGGAGATATACGCATGCGTAACCTGGGAATACGCTATTTTAAGCACCAGAAAATCGTTTAACGAGGTATCGCTTCAGATGCTTCATTTTAGGCTTCGCAAAGTGAGAAAATAGCCTAGACTAGCCGCTGGTATCATTCGATAGCCATGACGACGCCACTTGGAGAGCTACGCATGCGTAATTTTTTATTTATAACGCAATCTTTTGGCACTTAAAATAGCGTATTCCTAGGTTACGCATGCGTATCTCTCCAAATGGCGTCGTCATGGCTATCGAATGATACCAGCGGCTAGCCTAGGCTATTTTCTCACTTTGCGAAGCCCAAGATGAAGCTGCTTAAGCGATACCCCATTAAATGATTTATTGGTACTTACTTGAGCGTATTTCTAGGTTACGCATGCGTATCTCTCCAAATGGCGTCGTCATGGCTATCGAATGATACCAGCGGCTAGCCTAGGCTATTTTCTCACTTTGCGAAGCCCAAGATGAAGCTACTTAAGCGACACCCCATTAAATGATTTATTGGTACTTAAAATAGCGTATTTCTAGGTTACGCACGCGTATCTCTCCAAATGGCGTCGTCATGGCTATCGAATGATACCAGCGGCTAGTCTAGGCTATTTTCTCACTTTCCGTAGCCTAAAATGGGGCATCTGAAGCGATACCTCGTTAAACGATTTTTTGGTACTTAAAATAGCGTATTCCTAGGTTACGCATGCGTAGCTCTCCAAGTGGCGTCGACATAGCTATCGAATCATACCAGCGGCTAGTCTAGGCTATTTTCTCACTTTCCGTAGCCAAAATGGAGCATCTGAAGCGATGCCTCGTTAAATGATTTTTTGGTACTTAAAATAGCGTATTTCTAGGTTACGCATGCGTAGCTCTCCAAATGGCGTCGACATAGCTATCGAATCATACCAGCGGCTAGTCTAGGCTATTTTCTCACTTTCCGTAGCCAAAATGGAGCATCTGAAGCGATACCTCGTTAAACGATTTTCTGGTACTTAAAATAGCGTATTCCTAGGTTACGCATGCGTAGCTCTCCAAGTGGCGTCGTCATGGCTATCGAATGATACCAGCGTCTAGTCCAGGCCATCCTCGCATTTTTCGTAGCCTAAAATGAAGCATCTGAAACGATACCTCGTTAAATGATTTTTTGGTACTTAAAATAGCGTATTTCTAGGTTACGCATGCGTAGCTCTCCAAGTGGCGTCGTCATGGCTATCGAATGATACCAGCGGCTAGTCTAGGCTATTTTCTCACTTTCCGTAGCCTAAAATGAAGCATCTGAAGCGATACCTCGTTAAATGATTTTTTGGTACTTAAAATAGCGTATTCCTAGGTTACGCATGCGTAGCTCTCCAAATGGCGTCGACATAGCTATCGAATCCAGCGGCTAGTCTTGGCTATTTTCTCACTTTCCGTAGCCAAAATGGAGCATCTGAAGCGATGCCTCGTTAAATGATTTTTTGGTACTTAAAATAGCGTATTTCTAGGTTACGCATGCGTGGCTCTCAAGTGGCGTCGTCATGGCTATCGAATGATACCAGCGGCTAGTCTAGGCTATTTTCTCACTTTTCGTAGCCTAAAATGAAGCATCTGAAGCGATACCTCGTTAAACGATTTATTGGTACTTACTTGAGCGTATTTCTAGGTTACGCATGCGTAGCTCTCCAAATGGCGTCGTCATGGCTATCGAATCATACCAGCGGCTAGTCCAGGCCATTCTCGCATTTTTCGTAACCTAAAATGAAGCATCTGAAGCGATACCTCGTTAAATGATTTTTTTGGTACTTAAATGAGCGTATTTCTAGGTTACGCATGCGTAGCTCTCCAAATGGCGTCGTCATGGCTATCGAATCATACCAGCGGCTAGTCCAGGCCATCCTCGCATTTTTCGTAGCCTAAAATGAAGCATCTGAAACGATACCTCGTTCAATGATTTTTTGGTACTTAAAATAGCGTATTTCTAGGTTACGCATGCGTAGCTCTCCAAGTGGCGTCGTCATGGCTATCGAATGATACCAGCGGCTAGTCTAGGCTATTTTCTCACTTTCCGTAGCCTAAAATGGAGCATCTGAAGCGATACCTCGTTAAACGATTTTTTGGTACTTAAAATAGCGTATTCCTAGGTTACGCATGCGTAGCTCCCCAAGTGGCGTCGTCATGGCTATCGAATGATACCAGCGGCTAGTCTAGGCTATTTTCTCACTTTTCGAAGCCTAAAATGAAGCATCTGAAACGATACCTCGTTAAACGATTTTCTGGTACTTAAAATAGCGTATTTCTAGGTTACGCATGCGTAGCTCTCCAAATGGCGTCGTCATGGCTATCGAATCATACCAGCGTCTAGTCCAGGCCATCCTCGCATTTTTCGTAGCCTAAAATGAAGCATCTGAAGCGATACCTCGTTAAACGATTTTCTGGTACTTAAAATAGCGTATTCCTAGGTTACGCATGCGTATCTCTCCAAATGGCGTCGACATAGCTATCGAATGATACCAGCGGCTAGCCTAGGCTATTTTCTCACTTTGCGAAGCCCAAAATGAAGCAGCTGAAGCGATACCCCGTTAAATGATTTTTTGGTACTTACTTGAGCGTATTTCTAGGTTACGCATGCGTATCTCTCCAAATGGCGTCGTCATGGCTATCGAATGATACCAGCGGCTAGTCTAGGCTATTTTCTCACTTTGCGAAGCCCAAGATGAAGCTGCTTAAGCGATACCCCATTAAATGATTTATTGGTACTTAAAATAGCGTATTTCTAGGTTACGCACGCGTATCTCTCCAAATGGCGTCGTCATGGCTATCGAATGATACCAGCGGCTAGTCTAGGCTATTTTCTCACTTTCCGTAGCCTAAAATGAAGCATCTGAAGCGATACCTCGTTAAACGATTTTTTGGTACTTAAAATAGCGTATTCCTAGGTTACGCATGCGTAGCTCTCCAAATGGCGTCGACATAGCTATCGAATCATACCAGCGGCTAGTCTAGGCTATTTTCTCACTTTCCGTAGCCAAAATGGAGCATCTGAAGCGATGCCTCGTTAAACGATTTTTGGTACTTTAAATAGCGTATTTCTAGGTTACGCATGCGTAGCTCTCCAAATGGCGTCGACATAGCTATCGAATCATACCAGCGGCTAGTCTAGGCTATTTTCTCACTTTCCGTAGCCTAAAATGGAGCATCTGAAGCGATACCTCGTGAAACGATTTTTTGGTACTTAAAATAGCGTATTCCTAGGTTACGCATGCGTAGCTCTCCAAATGGCGTCGTCATGGCTATCGAATGATACCAGCGTCTAGTCCAGGCCATCCTCGCATTTTTCGTAGCCTAAAATGAAGCATCTGAAACGATACCTCGTTAAATGATTTTTTGGTACTTAAAATAGCGTATTTCTAGGTTACGCATGCGTAGCTCTCCAAGTGGCGTCGTCATGGCTATCGAATGATACCAGCGGCTAGTCTAGGCTATTTTCTCACTTTCCGTAGCCTAAAATGAAGCATCTGAAGCGATACCTCGTTAAACGATTTATTGGTACTTACTTGAGCGTATTTCTAGGTTACGCATGCGTAGCTCTCCGAATGGCGTCGTCATGGCAATCGAATGATACCAGCGGCTGTCAGGCTATTTTCTCACTTTCCGTAGCCTAAAATGAAGCATCTGAAGCACGATTTTCTGGTACTTAAAATAGCGTATTCCTAGGTTACGCATGCGTAGCTCTCCAAATGGCGTCGTCATGGCTATCGAATGATACCAGCGGCTAGTCTAGGCTATTTTCTTACTTTTTGTAGCCTAAAATGAAGCATCTGAAGCGATACCTCGTTAAATGATTTTTTGGTACTTAAAATAGCGTATTCCTAGGTTACGCATGCGTCTCTCTCCAAGTGGC